TTTTGCTTCCATATACTCGATACTACAAAAAGAAGACGAAGAACTAGCAGCAGCACTACCAGTCGCAACAAAGTTGACGTGAAAACAAGAAGAAGAATGAGAAGATTGAAGAAGCGGCTACTACCGACTACTAACTATACTATACCAACGCTCAAGAATTTGCACTATGCGAGATAGAGTTCATCCTTTCTCTCTCGTCCGCGAAGCCCTATTCCATACACTTGCCTCATCTTTCTCGTCCACCCTTCCTTGGCTATACAACTCGCTCTCTTTCTCTCTCGCACGCGCAGTGTTTTTGCCTTTTTGTTTCTCGAAAATCAGGTGCACACACGACTTGCAGCTCTCTCAACCGTGCGGTATAAACGCATTCTCGCCGCAATACACACTCGCACACATATATAGCGCTGCTGGTCGTGCCGGTACGTGCCGGTCTTTTTGAAACTGTTGCATTTGCACCGCAGGCAAACGTTCACGCATTTATACACACACACGCGATCTCGCCAATGTTATAATCGACGCAGATCACGCCACTTTTCGACTCTCCGATCGAAGCCAACGAAGCCATGATCTCTGCCGTGCCTATATATACTACCGCATGAAAGAAAAGAGGCGAACGTGTCTCATTGTATAATGCCCACGAATGAAAATCGTTTGCATAAAAGTGCTTATTTTTTTCTCTCCTTTTTTACCTTATTTTTTTCAAGAAGAGAAATTATTGCCAATGATCTCGGTTCCGGGTTATCATCCACTATAAAAGAGGTCGATTTTTCGTATTTTTTTTTTCTTCGCTCAACATTTACATATGTAAGCCAACAAGCTGGTTTAATCGTACAGACGATGTCGTTGCCCTCGCAAAATTACATACGTTCACAAATATGGACATGTAGAGCTCTCCGCGGCGGCAGGTATACATGGGTAAGAAAAAGCTCGGTATCCACGCGCATCCGTGACCCAAATCGCACGCGTTAGCAAGAAATGCATCACGCCACCGAGCTCGGTGCACGTTTCATACGTGCACGCATTCTTGCGCCAGTATATATACTTCGCATTATGTGCGACCTGCACAATGCTACCATTATGTACGCGAGCCCGTAAATGAGCGCAATGCACATCGCTGCGCTGCGAAAGTTTTGCACTTGTGACAGTTTGAGCTAGAGAAAGATACGTACTGTGAGGGTAAAAAAGCCCATCAGGTATACCTTGTATGCGTGTAAAAAAACGATTAGATCGAGTCGACCTTTGGCTGGATGCCCGAAAATTCGATCGGAGAGCTAGGCGTCTGTCTCGAGACGCGCGTCCGACTGGCCTGATCGTTCAATTTATCATTGGCACGAGCTTCGACAAAAGCTGATGATCGAACGATTAGGTGCTTTCTCTATTATGTCAGTTAATGTGCCTTCATGATTGTTGGTATTCACGTGGTTTTTTCTTCTTTTTTATTAATTAAATTATGAGCGCGTAAATCGATGACTGTCAAAATTCAAACGATTAATTATCTCTTCCTTTTTTCATCGTTATTACGTATAAAGAAGAAAATCTACAGCTTACGATCGAACAATGAAAATTTCTCAAGAAAAGTGAGGGAGGAGAGGTGCAAAAAAAACGAGAACAAATAAACACATCGTTTACAAAATTTGCATCTGCTTATATAGAATCAATAGAATCACAAAAAGATCAAACTAATCGACACGCGTATATAACGTATCACGCGATCGGATCATCGAACGTGCTGCAAGTTGTAACAAAATTTGCGGCGCTTGCTTATTCTTGACACCGACTACAATTGCCTTTTATTATTCATATTAATTATGATGACGCTGAATATAATATCACTCGCGTATAAATGTCAGCACGCGTATACTGTATTTTATTACACGTTCTAATGAGTGTTCTGGTCGTGTTATAGAACACGTAATAAAAAAATATACTTGCCGAAACGTGCAAATGGATCGATGAAATGATATATACAAATATTTCGAAGCATATGATTGGCGGAAAAGTTTCAAAAGTGAAAATAAGGCAGTATTAAATATTTCAGATTGATACCTGCATTCTTTATTCAGTGCGACAGAAGCGCGCGTGCCATATTACCTCCATCCATTAAGATGAATATTGCATGCAGCAAAAAAGAAAAATAATTGCTCGAGCTGTGGTGTCTATTTATGTCACTTTATCAACAAAAAAAATAAGAAAAAAGGTTTTCCTTTTTTATATAATTATTTTTATTATCATGCACGCGCTACTCGTAATGGTGATTGAGGTAAGATACGGAAGAAAAAAAATCCACTGAACGAATAAGAGCGGAGATTCGGTAATAATTGAAATTGCCAAGATTGGTATTCGATTGTATCCCTCAATGGGTTTGCAACGTGTGAAATCAACGATTTAGGCAGATTAGTCTTTGTACGGATGTTTCAAATTTTAAATTAACGTCACGAATCATGAAAATTTTAACGCCTCGTCACTTTTGAGATTGATAAAGATAGCTAGGCATCGATTAAGTTAAAAAACAACATATTACGCCATGTAGCAGTAAATTTATGTTACGATATTACGAGTTCAACTTTAAAATTTATCACACAATTTGCATGATTTAATCTTGATCTATCTCTCTGCTTAACTAGATAAATTTCACCGGTCGGAAGTATTTTGAAAAACTATGAGCTGACAATCATTTGTCTACTTCATCCAGTTTCCAATTGACCCGAGAATGGAAAAAATATTTTGTGGAAAGTCACGAGCAAATTTATATGGAAATTAACTGGGCGATTCCCTATACAACATTTTGATCAAGTTATCGAGATAATTTTTTGATTTGAAAATTTCCGTGATCATTCAGACAATATCTATAAGTGTTAATATTATAAATAAGAGATTTTTTTATTGACAAACCAGCTTTTAGATATACCAGTATATTTATTATTCAAATGCATAATATGCAATGGTGTTACTACCCGTTGTGGTTTTTGGTTTTCTCATATTTGTCTTATATTTGTCTTTTATTTTTACCCACTTACAATTTATGTCTTTTTTTCACCTTTCCCTTTCTTACCTTTACTTCTGTTCCAACTGATGCACCTAATATCCTATACAAATAATATACATGTTTTCTCCGTAACTGTAAACTCAATTGACGCGCGATCGATATCAGGCATTAACAAATGTGATTCACGATTTTGCTTGGCTAATATTACGCGCGGTTACAAATGACTTTTTATCAGCGTTTGGAACGCGTGATAATATGCGTGTTAAGAGCGATGTACATTATAAGTACGAGCGGTTGCATTTTTGCTTAGAACGACATTTATTGACATGTCGATCGTAGATAAGACGTCGTGTTACAAGACACACGTGAAAAATATACATGGCGCGCGCGCGCGCATCGGTATAAATAATAATATACGCAAAAGATCGACGCTAGCTAGATGACGTAGTTCTCTCTGCGATGCGCGTCACGACGAAATCAGGTCCATACGCGGCGTGTGACTTTTCTAATCCCAAGAGCCAGACAAAATATCAACAAATTATCGTCAATCAGATGATTTTATATCCCGGCAATAGTGGCGATCTACATCTCTCTCGCTTTCTTTTTGCACGAAATCGCGATGCATATAGAAATATCTTTTTTATATTATTATATGCATCGCGAAGATTCTCGGGTTTCGCGAGCGCGCGCAATGCGGTAACTCAATTCTCTGTTCTCTGGAACGTGGCTCCGGCGCGCACGAGCCTCATCGACGATGAAGAAAAAGTCTCGCCATCCACTGTGTAACCGGATATCGCACATATGCACGTTTGCTCCTGTATATATGCAGAGAACACATATCGTTCGGAAATGCGGCTATCCTCGCGCAAAACTTACCAAATCGTGTGGTTCACAGTATATGAGTCGAGACACGAGTCGTTGAGGTGGATTTTAAAAATGCGCAGTGACAAGCGCAAGCGAGCCAGACAAGTGTCCGCGGTAAAGCTCTGAAAGAGAGAGAGATAGAGAGCTACTCGTAGTTTACTTTTTATTATCCTTACGTATGCGGGCACGTTACAGGATCTTAACGTGCCAAGCACCGGAAATTCCCAAAAAAAGGAGTAGCGGTACAGCTTTTTGTAATATAATTGGGGTTAGTGGTCTGTAACAATTATGCTTCTGCATTTCTTTTGCAAAGTGGACCCGATTTCGCGCGAAATCCAAGAGCTTTGTTCGTAGCGTTCTGGACGATTTTGAAATCAATCGATCACAACAGCAGCAGATCATTAGAAAATTGAGAAAAACAGCAGGGCTGTTGTTGTCGATCTTTTAATTGCGCTTCAACTACGCCGCGCGAGCCAAGATTGGCTTTATGAATGAAAAACAGACGATAATCGGTAATATAAGGTTGTTTTTCTATATTACACATATCCTGTCGTATGATCGCGCGGCGTCAGTTATTACGCGACTTTTTTCCGCGAATTATCGCGAAAAACCTGAATCGCGTGACGTAGTATGCAGTACGAGCAGCTCACAATGTGTACGTAGCGATTTTAAAAATAAAAACTGAAAACAAGAAAAAAGGTATGTTGACGGCGTGCGCGCCATTCCCACCTTCCTCCAAGACGTTCGGGGGCTAAAATTGGTGAACGTCGGCTACGGATTCGCGGGCTCGTGGCTCACGCGATCAGACGGAGAGAAAGAGAGAGAGAGAGAGAGAAAGAGCAGCATTACACATTGCATAGACAGCGTATAATGCATCAGCATCACGGCACAATGAGAGGGGGCTCGTCTCTCGTCGCGATCGTGCGTATATACGTGCAATATATAGTGTGACTTTTACCACGCATAGCGCACACGTATCTCGAGAGACTGAGAGAGAGAGAGAGAGAGAGAGAGAGAGAGAGAGAGCAAGAGAGAGCCTACCTATATACCTTTACTACCCGCTACGACGTCGAGGAGTGTACTTATGGTGGGGGCTGAATAGTAGCGGCGGTGCCGAGACTGGAAAACCGAGACTGCAGAGCTGCTGCTGGCTCGATTCAAACGCTCGACCGACGCTCTACCGAAACGATCCTTCCTCCTGTGTTTCGAATCCCGTATACATCGCGAGCACACGTGTGTCATACGACTTGACGGACTTTTTAATACGAGCGAAATACAAGTGGGATAAATCGGAGCTCGATTCGCAAGGGTGTCGATTTATGTACGATTTATCTACATCTAAAGTGTCGCAGAAGATTAAATAATCAACTTTCGACCAACGTGAAGGATTATAAAGTGGACAGATAATACTACAGTGACGAGTTTTACACGTTAGTTCGGAGTCTGTGTGTCAAACGCGTGTTATACAAATAAAACGAGTTTGCTATATCGACTTTACGTAAGCTTTCGATCGTTGACGACGAAAAACTCAGTGCATTATATAGTTATATACGAAGACAAGTGCGCGATTGACATCGGTATTTTATACGAGAGTCACCGGTAAAGAAAAGCACGCGTGATACTATATATAAAATAAACACAAACCGATTGGGTGTTATCGGCAAAAGTTTCATCGAAGCTCCGACGAATGGATGTCAAGGAAAGAAACAGTGTCTCGAGCAGCTCGTGCGGATATCATGCTTCCTCGTGGGCAGCGATCTCGCTCGTCTGCGTCCTCCTGCTGCAGATCGGCACCGCGTCGACGAAAGCTGCGGCCGTCGATCAGGCGGATCAGGCGGATTTTTTGCTCGTCAGACCACTGCCCGATAACGATCAGTACGATCGCTTCTTGAGCTGGAACGGACTCTGCGTTAGAGAGCAGATCTCCGAGTGGGCGTAAGTTTCACACGGAATACTAAAAAAAAAAAGAAATTAAAAAAATAAAAAATGAAATGTGCACCGCTCTACCCCTCGCTATGCGATGGAGCGTAACGAAAGAGCCTATACCGAAATCACCGATGTAATTATCAAGTCGCTAATCTTGGCCCTTCCAAATCTGCCCATTAACGCACGCACGAGCGATTATTGTCCCTTTCCGGAAGAGACCCTCTCGCGCGCGCGTGTGCCTCTGTGCTTAGCCCATATATAGCAGTGTCATATAGTTTTGTATACACGCGTCGCGTCAGCCGGAATTTATATCGCTGTATGTATACGAGCAGCGTGCTCGCGTGCGCTGCATTGCCCGGGATTATAATTGAAAACCACCGCGATAATAAGCCCGCTAAATGTCGAATTCGGCAATTCCGACGCACCGCTTTCAATGCGTATAGGTACGCGCGCACTGCTCGAACAATAATAAAGATTTTATCGAATAATTTACTGCTCGTGACACGCGGGGCTATGCAGGACAATTGAAGATTTTTTTCGGCCCATGTATGTAGATGATTTTTAATCTATTTTTACGCTTGCCTTCGTTGAATCTACCGTGTAGTCCATGGTTTGCAGCTTTTGTACGAGAATTATTGCGAAGATTAAGTACGCGTGTACGCAACTAATTTGTGTACATGCCAATTTTTTTTCACGATCCAACGACACTCATCGAGTGCTAAATTACATATTATACATCTACTACGAGATGTTTCACCTGTTTTTTTTTCTTTAAATAGCCGACACGCGGATTCTTTTTCATACGTGCTATTAATGCGTTAATGAGTGTTGACATAACGCATACTCGATCAGATTCGTGGAAAAATCATTGAATAATGAGTACCATGTATATAAGCCATATATACAGCTCGAGTATACCAATATATCGACACTTGTATACGTTATGGGATGTGTGCGTACACCGGTAAATAAAACACATCATCGAGCTTTTCTCCTAACAAAATACACTCTAAATCCACCTACTGTCTCTTGGGTGTAAGTGTGGATAATCGTGCACGGTAGGAGACTTGGAGAGCAAACACGAAAGGCGCTAGGCTTGCGACTACTTTTCTAAAGACAAACAACAACAGCAACTCAACATGCTTACTGTACTTTCAGGGATCGGTTTAGTGGTCAGTTTGCCATTTCCCACGTGCATGCACGATCGTGCGTGTGTTCATTGTGCTCCCCTGCACTCTCTAACTCGAAAAATCATCCTAACTCGAGCCCCAGTCGGCTGAGTGCTTGGGCTTACTCACTTTTTCTCACTCTCTATGTGCAATGCGGTGCAGTCTAGAGGCAGGCGCGCGCTTACTTACTCGGCTCGAGAAAAGCTATATAAGCCGGATCGAAGCTTTGACGTAAGCTTGATTCGAGGATTATTGGTCGGAAATCAAGGCAACAACAGTAGCTCTCGATCGTCATTTTCTGCCTCCTCTTCTTTTCTTCTTCTTCCTCCTTTTTTTTCTCTTTTCTTTTTTAGTTACTCGCAGAAGAAGGATTTCGTTTATGTGTATACGTTCTCCGTGTGTTTGAAAAAAGCTTGTTTTGAGATCCAGTGAAATTCCTCTGGATCAAAGCTCGAGATTTTTTTGCTCTCTCTCTCCCCCTGACCCACGTCATCGACGAACATGGCGTGTATGGTTGAGCACGATGATGAAATCAAACAAAATAAAACAAGGATGAGGAAAAAGCCGCGGACGTTCAAAGTACTTAAATGAAAGGGCTCTCTGGGCAGGCGCGCTTTGGCTTACTCTTATTCTTCGTGGAGCGAAAGGTCGCCCCGCGCGCGTTTTATATTCGAGACGAGTAATGCCTTTTTTATTACAAAAGATTGAAAGTTCGCGATAAGGATGTAATCCGGAGTATAGGACGATTTATTTGCTCGAGTTTCTTATTTTTTTTTTTTTATACTCGAAAATTCTTTGCTCTTTCACTTCGTATTATACGTATGTATGAGCGCGCGTAAAACGTTATACGAGGATAAAGACCCCGCGTGCACATACTCGATACGTATACGTATATCGCAATTACGTATCTCGCTGAAGAGGCAAGTATACGAGTTTCGCGTAACTATAGTACGCTACGCTACGTGCATATATATTTCGCAGACGGGAACATCGATCAGGCGACGAAGAAACTCGCCTCATAATTCGAGACTCTGTTGTGTCGCGTATACATAACGATGGTCGGCACGGCGGTCGCGGACAATCGCTCGGCCCGTTTACGCACTCGGTACATGTACACGAGATAAAGTCCGAGCGCCGCGAGACAATGCGCGAGACTCGATGAAAGTACACGACCAACTGATAATAATCGATCGATGCGCATTTAATATGATGTTTATTCAACTTCGGCAGGGACTACGAGAGCAAGCAGAGCTTGATACTGCGCGAGATCTGGCCGCGCAACGAGAGCAGGAAGATCGTTCTGTTTTACGAGGGCGACGAGCTGACTCAATGCTACGACAAGCCGATCGACTTGGCCAAGGAGGCCAAGGAGCCCTGCACGAGGCAGATCGAACGCGTCAACGTCAGCGCCGAGGAGACGGCCGAGTCGCTGTCCTCGTCGTCCAGCGAGAAATACGTCAAGTTTTTTCAGGGCAAAGATCACGCCGATGCCGTCGTGGCTGACGAGTTTCCCTGGCTCTTTGGCACTTACACCGACATCAGGCAGAGATGCATGTGAGTATTTTTCCGATAAATAATATATCTTTTGCTTACGAATTAGTCGCGAGCAGTTGTGCCGATCGTAGAAATATTTCCATAATTTCAAAGCTTTGATCTACTTCAAAGAGGGAATTTTTTCCAACTATCCACCTCACTTTCTCCTGAGCTTATGTAATTCGTAACTATTTTACGAACATAATTAATATCCAATGTGATGATAAATTAACTGGGCTCAAAGAAAATAGATCCAATCAGATTAATTAGACGAAACACCGGTAATCATGTATGAATTTTTAAGTAGGTGCTACGTGTTTTACGACTTTTACATTGACAGTACGATTCGCTGACGTAACACTACATTTATTTTTCGCGTGTTAAACGTCAAATGAATAACAAAATTTAATACAATATAATGTATGAAAATTACACACCGCACGATTGACATTATATCACGCGCATCATTGCTTCTATCGCGCGCGATAATGTACTCGAGCCAAAGGACGCGCAAATATCGTCTCATTGACACGCTGTCGAGCGGCTATACCGCAGCATCAGCAATAGCAGTATCAGGAAGAGACGCCCAAAAATAATGATGTCATTTATCAATTCCACCCACCCACACTCATGCACACGCTCGGAGAAAAGTTGCGTACGTATCTCTCAGGCACAAAAGCTGCCCCCTGCAGCTGCAGAAACCTACATACACTGCCAAGCTTCCAATCCCATAAGCTATTTTCGCCCCCTCATATTGCTGCGCACAATGGCCGCGAGCAGCAATCAACCGCACACTAGAAAAAAAAAAGGAAAAAGAAAGTGCCACCCAGTCTCAGGGCTATCGACTTTCGAGGGTTGATTTCGCATGGCGCATTATAGCTGCGGGTGAAAAATAGTTTCTTTTATATGCGCTGTTATGTCGAGGCTAATTCGATCGTTTCAACTTGTTACAGAGGTCAGAGAGCGTCAGAGTCGAGCAGCGGTCCCGAAGCAAAATCATCATCGTCAACGTCGGTGGCTCTTCGGAATAATCACAATCGCTCGAAGCGCGGAATACGCGAGCTGGTGATAGCGCCGGGCACAAAGTGGTGCGGACCGCATCGATTGGCCTACAGTTACAAGGACCTCGGCGCGCTCGACGGCTTGGACAGATGCTGCCGGCGCCACGACCATTGTCCACGTGCCATCGCGCCGTTCTCCGAGAGATACGGACTCTTCAATTACATGCCGTTCACTCTGAGCCACTGCGGCTGCGACGAGAGGTGAGAGGACTAGAGAAAGAAAGATAGAGAGAGACAGAGACAGAGAGTTGACCAGCCCACCCGTGAACGTTTTCTTCGATATAATTTATTGAATGACGCCCGGCGTCTCCTTTTTTCTCTTCGCGTTTGATATGCGCGCGATCTCCTATTTATATACACACATACACACTTGTAATATAGGACACTCGGCCACTCGAAATCTTGCCCATTATAATTTATCGCCATTGTCTTTACCTAGAAGTCATTTGCCTTTTTCGACTATTTTTTTCCCATTTCATGGAAGTCCGATTGAATAATTTCGTGGATGCGCTGAAGCGCCATGCAATAAATTCAATAATAATATGATAATTGCAATACGTGAAAGTCTGACGAAAAATTTCGAAAGGTTTTGTATTTTATACGAACTGTTTAATCGATTTACCATGGTAATTCTCGAGCCAAATATTATTTTTTATATTATTGCTCGTTAATTCGATGATGCAACCTAATATTCTGTGGAGTTATTATATATTTTTTTCTCATTTGAGAATTTACTTTTGAAAATAAATTTTTTGAGATGATTCAATTGTTAATGACTATTTCTCATGCTCGAACTTCTCACGTTCAAAAGATAACCTCATCTTGAGACGAATACAAATAGTATTTAATTACATGATTACTCTGCACGGCTTTAGCCGCTCAGCATACTTAGATAAAAAATTACCTAGTTCGCGTGTGAGCAATGACTCATTTTGTTACATTTACATTAAAATAAAATCGATTTTTCGGGAAACCAAAAAATAGATAAATGCGACTCATTTTTGTATATCAATGAATGCAGTCGAATCATGTCGAAAATCGTCCGTTTTATCTCTCCTCGAGATCTATTACGGCTAATACTGCGCGATTGCACTCGCAGACAAGCGCTCAGACAATAAGATTCTCGGACGATATTTCAAATTTTCGATGTATACAGATCTCGAAACTAGCCATGCAAATATTTTTATTTTTATTGTGTTCGTATCTTGAGGGGAATATTTACTTCTTTTTACAGATTCCGTACCTGCTTGAAGATGACCGGCACGTCGTCTGCTAATCTTATCGGCAAGATCTTCTTCAACATGGTGCAGACCAAATGCTTCGTGCTGAAGCCTTCGAAAACCTGTATCAAGCGCTCGTGGTGGGGCAAGTGCGAGAAGCACGAGTACAAGAAGCAAGGTTATCTGCGCGACAACCTGTCGTATTAGAGAGTTCGTAAAACAAAACAACGACAATAAAAACAGAGAAAGAGAAAACACGAGTTCCGAAACGAAGTAGGGCTTGTGTCGATTTGTTAATTAATACACAAATTAATTGAGTCTGGACGAGGACTAAAACGGAGTGCGAATGTGGATATTGCATACTTATTATCATAGGCTTGTTTTTCTGTATAGATAAATCAAAAGCTAAAACTTATTGAAAAATCTGACTGATATCTTCTATTCAATTCGACTTTTATTCGGATGAAAAATCTAAAATCCGTCTACGCGTCAAGTTATAGATAGTAGATTGGAAAGTACGTATAAATCTAGTTTTTAGAAAATTCTCTCCAGTTTTAAGGTAATCATATCTGCACGGTTGAATCGATGTAACGAATTGCGCGATTGTTTTTACTCTTTCTAATATGATCTTCAGGAGATGTTTATTGATACATTTTTCAATACAAAAGGTCAGTTTTCACGATCAACCTACGTTTTGGATATATACCTATGCATCTGCGTGTGGTTGAAAGAAATAAAATAGAAATAATACGAAAATTGTGTCAATTTGTTTGAATCTATAATTAACTCGACAAGTAATACTGCCGATAACAATTATCTCGGTTACAATCGTCGATGTATCGTGACTGATTTTTTTAGTCAAGAATGCAAAATTAAGAGTATTAGTAGGATTTCGAATGCATATTTTGTACGTGTTTGGGTTTTTTTTTCAATTCAAAATATGTAAATATTTTGTAAATTTATATGCATTTAAAAATTATAATAAGCTCCGAATATGTATGTATAATTAAGTTGGATCAGTTTTAGTGCTATCAATAAATTTTAAGTTTCGCACAAAAGTATCTCAAGCGACGATTTTCAACGCTTTGATCAATCGAAATTTTAATCCTCTTGATCATTTATGACTTATAATGTCACGATAAATGAATACTATATATAGTAGAGACAATTTTGGTAATAATATTAATTAATTTTAAGAACTAGATTAAGATTGAAAGTTTTCTGATCACTAGTCATATTAGAATATTCGATACAAAATATCATGACAATTTTATAATTTTAAGATCAATAATCATTTTTACATTCCAATGTTATAATTTGCATTTCCTATATTCATTTTATACTTTACATGCAATTCTAATCAATTGAAAATCTATTTTTAATTAAAAATGAATATTTTTATTTGTAGCATAATTGTTTTTATTGAGCATGTATGTTTGGTTGTACATATGTAAATATAAAAGTTATAGTTATTACAGAATTTCATGCAAAATATTTTTAACAATTGTTTAATTATGTAAAGTGTATACTGATTTGATATTCCAATAAATAAAAATTATATTACTCTATTTAGTTTTATTAATGAATATAAATTTATTTTACCAAAAGCAAAGAAATGAAAAAAATAATAAAATGATAATCGTAAAAATGTTACAAAAAATTTAAAAACTTTCCCAAATCTTTATTCTTTGGAGTTAACAAAGATGACGAAAGATCGTAACTTCGAGAAAAAAATTTGCCCTTGCATTGTCTGCTTTTTTTACTTTGATTATTAAGAGAAAGTCAAGTGAATGAAGCTGCAAAAAATCCAAATCTTAACACTTAAAAAGTCATTATTGTCAGTGATGTAATTTTATCTGATCTTGCATCTGTTAATTCAATAAAATCACCGAAACAATCAACGAGATATAATCATGTAAACTTCAAATACTTTTTGAGTTAGAATGACTATGTTGTCGGCTTATACTTTGCTATTATTTGAAGAATAAAATCAAATAAAATTAACCCATTATAAGATCATTATCAATCTTGATCTTAAGTTTGGTGATCATTAACCTTGCACTACATCGAATGTGTCTGCAGAATTAATCTCTTGAATAACCAATATTTTTTATTATCAAGTAAAACAGGGTAAACATTACAAATCGACATAGTTCATAAATGTCGTGTATTGTATTGAATGACATTCTTGACACAGTTAGTAAATGAATATATCCACGTTATGCAGATGCGTCAAATTTTATTGTCTCACTCAGGTTTATTAAACTCCCTGAATAGTGCAACGAAGTATAGGAAACTTCCAATCCTGAAGATGAACAACAGCTTTAAATAATTTAAAAAAAACGAAGAATAAGCTGTCATTATCTATCAACGAAGCGTAATTTGCTCGCTTAACAACTTTAATTCCTTGATTTGAAAATTTCAATAAAATCCTGAAGTATGCCTTGCGTATCGTATCGCGCGCAAGAGAGGATTTATTATTATTTTCTTTTTTCATCGTCAGTCGAGTTATATCACGCGAGCGAGGCGCGATCGACTGCCTCGCGGCACTGATTGCGCGTGCGCCCCGCTTATCCCAGATCGCGACGGAATGATCGTTTATATCTATATATTGTATACGTATATGAGATATTGACACCAGTCAACAGTGTCAATACATCAAGGAAGGAGGATGGTATTAGAATCATCGATTATTACTCAGCGATCGTTTTTGTACGCGGAGAGTGCGAGCGGCGAGTGCACGCGCGAATAACAAGCAAGCTCTGGATTCGCCAAGTAATTGAATGATATAATATGAATGAGAAGTGTCCCCGCAAGCACAACAATGGTGTAACGGTCAACGAAATTTCATCATTTTTATAAGCGATAAAAACTATTTAAAAGTCAGCCGTGAGTCTTATTCTTCGTTTAACGCTCGCCGGAGACACACACCGGACAATTACGCACAACGCACAGGGGGACCGGCACGCGTTTTCACAAGCATGATGTCGACTTTGAGAATTTGTTGTGAGTATTTATGAGTTTTTTGCTTTTTTTCTAGTTGTTATTTCTAGTTATTGTGTTTTTTTAATAATTGTGGTGATATTTTTGAAAAAAGTGAACATTTAGTTGCAAAAAGTGAAAAAAGGTGTTTTAAGGAGAACCCGTAATTTAAATCTTTGCCTGAAAAAAATTGGATATTATTTGAAAAGTTTACGTGAACGTCGTGAGGCGAACAAACCCATGTAATCTACGTAGCTTTGTTTTCAAAAATATTTAGTAGAAATCTCAGAGGATGTGTTGAAAAATGTTCATGTTATTGAAGATTCTTTTGAGCACTGAGCTTTTCAAAACTTATTTAGCTTTCAAAATTATTACTACAGATTACTAGTTACAAAATTTTCATTTTCACCCAGTCTTTAAGTTTTCTCAAAATAAAAATTAAATATCTTTATAAACAATGATAAATAATTAGTTGAAACGAATGGTTGAAATGTGTGACTTGTCAAAAGGATTTATCTATCTCCTATAAAAACACATTCTTAATTAAATAAAAAACAGAAAATTTAAATTTATCCATCGCATGAATTGTCAAACTTAAAAGGTATCAAAAATTATGAACATTCGGTTTTAATACAATCAATTGCAGACAATGGCATGATAGAATATTCTAAAAATCATCAATCGCAATCAAAAATTCAGATTGAAAGATTAAAATGTCCGAAAAATGAATGATTTTTTTTTTCATTTTATTATTTCATTTATAGGTGGCCCAGTACGCCAACGATGGGTGTTTGCCTTCATGGGCTTTTTGGCCCTCGTCATGGCCTACGGTATGCGCGTCAGTCTGTCCATCGCCATCACCGAAATGACCATCAAACCCGAGAACAACAAAAAACTTCCCATCGATGATACATGCCCCATGGACGACGACTTGCCTCTTACGAACGTCACTTCCAGTTCCGGCACTTACAATTGGGACGAGTACACGCAGGTAAATCATCATACACATAAACAAATGTCAAGTTTAATCGGGCAGCGCGATTTTAAGAGGCAGATTATTAAGTACAAAATTCGAATTGACGATAATGGGATTCCTCCGTGTGATAAGATTGAGAACTATACGTGCAGATTAGGTATTTTCGATAATATTTCCTTGAACCGAAGATAAATTAAAGACAATCGATTAGCTTCGCTGGAGAATGTTCGATTAAGTGCTTAAAATGTATAAAAATAATTCATTCATTAATTAAAGTGACTCAACGTCCGGAGTGCAAAAAAATAGCAGAATGAGTCAGTGCCTGCGCATACTTTTGTATTCAAATATAAATAATCATCCCTTTGACTTTTTTAGGGCATTATCCTGTCCTCGTTCTACTGGGGCTACGTGATAACTCAATTACCCGGAGCTCTGCTGGCTGAAAAATATGGCGGCAAGCATACGCTGGGCTTCGGGATCTTGATCACGGCCGCTCTGACGATCGCCATTCCCGAGGCCATCAGGCTCGGTGAATCGACGGCCCTCATCGTGCTCCGCATATTCATGGGCCTGTCCGAGGGCGTGACACTGCCGGCACTGAACGTCATGCTGTCCCAGTGGGCGCCGCCGAGCGAGCGCTCCAAAACGGGCTCGTTCGTCTACGTCGGGGCGCCCCTGGGTGCGGTCTTCGCCACGGCCGTCTCGGGCCTCATCCTCAAGCACATGGAGTGGCCGATCGTCTTCTACTTCTTCGGCGGCATCGGGGCAGTCTGGTGGGTCATCTGGTGCTTCGTCTGCTACAACACACCGCGCGAGCATCCTTTCATCACGCAGGAGGAGGCCGAGTACCTGCACCAGCAGCTGAGCGAGCACGCCCACGTCAAACCGCCACCGGTGCCGTGGCGTCATCTGCTCACCTCGATGCCGCTCTGGGCCCTCATCGCCGTGCAAGTCGGCCACGACTGGGCCTTCTACACGATAGCCACCGACTTGCCCAAGTACATGAGCAGCGTGCTGCACTTCTCCGTGGAGAGCAACGGTTATCTGAGCTCGATGCCGTACATCGGCATGTGGCTCTGCTGCGTCGTCATGTCCTGGATCGCTGACCGACTCATATTCTCCAAAGTCTTGTCGATCACGGCGGTGAGGAAGCTCGGCACGACCATCGCCTCCATAGGCCCGGGCGTCTTCATAGTCATGGCCTCGTACACCAAGTGCGACAAGGTCTTGACCGTCACCATGTTCATTCTCGGCGTGACGCTGCTGGGCAGCGGAATACCGAGTCTGAAAGTCAACGCCCTGGATCTGAGTCCGAATTACGCGGGTACGGTGATGGCCATCAGCAACGGAGCCGCGGCTTGCACCGGCATATTGACGCCCTACATCGTCGGAGTTCTGACGACAGATCAGAAAATCAGTCAGTGGAGAATCGTGTTCTGGATTATATTCGGTATACTTGCAGCGACGAACCTGTTTTATCTGCTATTTGCCAGTGGCGAGGTCGCCGAATGGAACGACCCCGAGCTCATGAAGAGGAAAAAGGAGGAGAAAAAGAACATGGTTAGCAAGGAATTGAATGTATAAAAGCTGTAGTATTTATAGAGGGCCTCGAACAGGACGGCATATTTAAAAAATTTATTCGGAATATGCAGCATTTATTCTGTGATTAGCTGATTATCGAGTACTTGATTTCCAGTACTTAATGCATTAGGACTAAAAAATGTTTTTCACCAGCAAAAGAACGACGTCATTTTTATGTGATGTAGATGATTATTCAAATATCAGCTACGTAGTTAAAAAATTATACATTGTAAATAGAAGCGTACAATTTTGCACGATTTCATTGTAAATATACCATTGACATGTAGACATTCTATAAAATACATTCACATAGTTTTCTGCTTTAAAGATTTAATTAGTTTAGTCAAATACTAAGTTTATTCATTTCTATAGTTTTCTCAAAGAGAATAGCATTTTTTGTATTGTTGATTATAAGAAAAAATATAATAAAAAATCATTCTTTGAATTAAACCCAAACTTTAATCTTAATTATGTATTCTTATGATGATATAGCAGAAATGCAGTAAATTTATTGTGGTCTTATGTTTTAATACAAAAGTATACAACTTGGCAGTTTGCTGTATTTGCGCTCAATCTTATCAGCGACCAAACATATTCTGTAAGATAATAGCGAATATTTCATACTTTGTCTGGGGGACACATTCAGTCCAAGTTCTTATAGGTATGGTGTTACGTGTGATTCGTGATTGATCGGAAGAATGAATGTATTAAGGTTCTTGTGCTTTAGTTTATGTGCTACCAAGTGATCTATATAGGTCACTTAAAAAAAATGCCGATTTTCAAAAAAATCTGTAAGTTATATATTCATTCATCTATACTTTCTGTAAAACCTAAGATTAATTATTCAACATATTTTATTATAAACCTACAAGGTTCTTGTATGCCTCAACGATGGCTCATCGCTACTCTAGCATTTTTTGCATTTTTCAATGCTTACACCTTAAGAATATGCCTGTCGATGGCAATAACGAAAATGACAGTGCCGCTAAACTCTACCGAAAAAACGATCGATGAAACTTGTCCCGAATTCGATGATAAGGCAGTGAAATCGAACGTCACCATTCATGGTGGGACATTCGAATGGAGCGAATATACTCAGGTACAATAGTAATTATTATACTCTGAGATAAGAATTTAGAGCTCATAAAGATTCAAAGATAAGAACAGATATTCAATAATTTTCTTTGCAGGGAATCATTCTTTCCTCATTTTATTGGGGGTACGTGTGTACTCACATTCCCGGAGGTTTCCTGGCAGCTAAGTATGGGGCAAAATCAGTATTAGGTCTTGGAATCTTGTTCACAGGCTTGTGCACCATCGCGACGCCAGCCGCAACTCAAACGGGAGGCGCGAAAGCTCTGATCTTCATACGTTTCTTGATGGGCGCTTTCGAGGGTGTGATACAGCCAGGAATGAGCTGCTTGCTAGCCCAATGGATCCCATCTGGTGAAAGATCTTTCGTCAGCTCGTTCGTTTATTCTGGCATTAGATTGGGGATTCTCATCTCCTCGATCGTGTCGGGCATGATCATGAGCAAAGGCAACAGTTGGCCCTGGATTTTTTACGCCTTCGGTGGCATGACTATTATATGGTACTTGTTTTGGGTGATTTTCTGTCACAATAATCCACGTGAAAGCCCGTACATCTCGGAAGAGGAAAAAAATTACCTGCTCAGTGAGATGGAGAAGGATACTCATGAAGAGCATCCGCCTTTTCCTTGGAAACGAGCTTTGACGTCGAAAGCCTTCCTGGCTACGATCATCATGCAAACTGGCCACGATTTCAGCACTTATACGATTCTGTCCGATTTGCCCAAGTTCATGCACGATGTTCTGAAATTGCCCGTACAGTTGACCGGTTACGCGTCCTCCATGCACAATATATCAGCCTGGCTCTTTGGTACCCTCATGTCTTGGGTGTCCGACAAGTTGATAATTAAAAACTACGTGTCGATAACTAATGTGAGAAAAATTAATGTATTCATATCGAGCCTAGGGCCGGGTGTTATGCTCGTTTTGGCCACGTACATGGGATGCAACGTGGTAGGCGCCGTAGCTCTTATTACCATTGGTTTGACACTCACCGGCAGCTCGATTCCCGGCTTGAAGGTCAACGTGCTCGATCTCAGTCCGAATTATGCCGGAGAGTTGATGGGTATCTCGAACGGCATGGGAGCTTTTATGGGAATCTTGGCCCCCTACGTAGTCGGAGTTCTGACGCCAAATCAAACGTTCATGGAGTGGCGACTTATTTTCTGGATAGGCACGATAATTTATTTAGTGGCAACTTTAAATTTTATTATCTTTGGAAGTGGCGATGTGCAGAAGTGGAATGATTTGCCATCTGAAAAATCTAAAAAATTCAATAAAGAGAGTGTAAAACTTATAAAAATGCAAAACATTCGGGGTGCCGAGTCCCAATGATTGATTACAATATTATTCATGTTATTCAAAATTTGTGGACTAGTCAGTCGTACAACTCCTACCTATATGCAACCAAGCAGCGGCGTGTGTACAACGAGTTGCTCGTTCACCGTGTATTGACAAAGATATACACATTATGATCATACACATTATGATATAAAAATTACCGAATACTTGGAGTAAATTTGTAAATGTGAATTTTAATGTTTACATATTCTCTGAAATTTAACTCTTACAGTCTTTAGAGAAATAAGGGAATTTTTATTTTATTATAAATGAATTTTAATAAATTATTTAATTTAAGAAAACAAATCATTCCTTAAAATTCCATTTTCAACATTGAATTCTCACATGCTGAATTGTGAAATATTGATCATTGAAATTTTTTTATAAGCTGTAACTTATAGTTTAGAAATAGAATTTTCCAATTTAAAAACTCGATAGACATCGTAATACTAAGATAGTGAAAATGTAATAGTTTTTTATTTTCAGTCGTACTCGTTGAGATTGAGCATTTGTATTTTTATAAAGTAGTGAAGAGTAAAAAGTTATAAGTTCTTATTACTATCTAAGTGAACATTCTTGTAAAAATAAAAAATTGTATGATAAAAGCATTGAAAACGCAATTTACGGAATAAAAGGTTGAGGATTTAATTGAATTGTTGAACTTGATGTAATTTGTAAAATTATTATTTTCAATTAACTCATCTTATGAATTTTTAAAATGTATATAGAAGCTAGAGGCAACAAACTGCAAAATATTGCAAATTGCTGTGCGACTAGTTCAATGATGTAGCTTATATTAATTATTTAAATTTCCAATATCACAATGAAAATATTCTATCGAAAAGAACCTTACAATATTATTGCCAGATTTACGAATATTATTTAAATGATCCTACGGCTAGCAAACGGTGAAATTTATGTACTTAAAATAAATCTATCTAAAATTACTTAATGACATAATTCATATTTATAAATAAAATACAATCAACTCTACGGTTTTTAAACTATCTTATTATTGAAAAATACAAATTTCTATCCAAAACAAACAAAATAGTATTGTCCACGTTCACGAAAAATAATCGAGTAACGTTTATGTAAATGGAATTATTTTTCCCATAAAACCTTTTGATATTATTTATAAATAGTATCCAAATAACTAACTCGTGGATAAAAATCTTTGATCTCCAAAAGGAGATATCAAATACCAAATAATAAAATATTGTCCTCATTCAAACAAGCCTCCAATTATCAATCTCCTATCCGATTATTAAACAACTATCCAATCTATAAAGGGTTTCAACATTTTTGCCTGCTGATGAATGCATTTGCACGTACTATTTATGCAGTTTTGAGCAAAAAAAAGAGTTCATGCCAACTTTAGCTATTTCAGCAGGTGCAGGGGTTGCTATCTCCAGCTTGACATAGCAACGTAATATTTATTACCTTTTTGCTCGAATAACTTAGCTTACACTCATAGGAGATTTGATCGTATAACCAAGAATTCGCTCGAGTTTGCGGACAGAATTGTATAACTCTTCCTACAACCCCGAATGGATTTTTGATATTATTTCTGAAGAGATCTTGCAGCAATCTTGGAAGATTTTTTGACGTTATTTCTTAAAAATCAATCGTTTCGCGTACTCTATTAAACAGTTCACACTTGCATTTGATACAGCTATCGTTATTTATAATTAAAAATAAGTGCGGTTGTGTTTTCCAGCAGAAATGAATCAAATGCATATCAGATATTATTTATCTGCTGAGTAACATCACTTCACTCATCCATAATAACAAATGACAAAAATCTCCTTATTAGCAAAAAACCCGAATCACTCAGTACATGTAATCACTTTTTTAACATCTTAGATTTAAATAAATTAGATTATGCTATATTATGCTATACGAGCGTTTTGACTTTTTTGCATATTATTAAAGTAGTGTATTCAAGTCACTTACCATCAAACAATTATTCTGGTTTACCGATTTAATACATTAATAGAAAAAAAATTTTACAAAAAAAGTTTATTAGGGCCAGATATGAAAAAAATCAAATTTTTCTAAACACCAGTACTTGACGAGTTTTTAATTTAACCTTTTGACATTCCTCGACAGGTTAGATAGTACCAAGTTTATCTTAAAAATGTATGTAGAAAACTATTGTTACGTTTGTAAGTAACTTATCGTTATGGAGGCTCCTGCGCCCCAAGTCCAGCAAAGATACTTGACTTTTCTTAAAGATGAAGTCACGATTCTCATGGTATATTTTTTTGGAGGGTAACTAGAAAAAATTCGGAGATATTTTAATTCAAAGTTGGAACTTTTTGAGCTCTTGTAACATGGGCTCTGGTGGAGGGCGTCAATTTGATTTTCGAAGCATGATTTTTAATACAAAATAGAAATGTCCACATGAAAGGCTATGATGAGTTCAAAAAGGAAGTTTTTATTTTTTGCATGGTACCTTCAAAAACATCGGCGATCAGGGAAAAAATCAAGATATTTCAGGTTAAAGCGGAAAAAATGACCTTTTTTCAATGAATTTCAGGCTTTGCACTTCAACTTTACTAACTAGGAAGGCGCGGGAGCTTCCTTAAGTAGTACTTATCGTTACGTTTGTAAATAATGACAACTTATGCTAATACTTTAATATAATCCAAAAACTTCAGACAATATCTATTTTTTAGATAATTAATAAACTAGCACAAAATTGTCCAAATGGTAAATAATTAAGTAAATTTACGTCATTAAATAAAAAATTAAATCAGAAAAGGTTCTTACATCAAATTTTCGATAATGTAATGTTTTTGAGATTAAACTTCCCCACTCGGCATACATTTTTTGTATTATGAATAATATTGAACGGGTTTTGATTTTTTCTCTGTTGAGAGTCAAAGAGCCAATCAAATTTATCTGATAATAAGATAAAAAGTGTCCGAGCGCAAAGTATAAATATACAGTTTGATGTTAAAAATTTACACACAACGTGAAGGACCTGCGCTGAACAATAAGAGTTTCTTGTTTTCATCATTTGTCGTTATTCGAGTAATTATTTACATCACCCGGTTTCAAGTGGTACTATACTACTTTGTCCGTTAAAGCTCCAAAGTTTACGTCAGCATATCCTCTTAATTACACTTTTCGATAAAGATAACTCACCTAGACGCTATTAGAAATTGTAGTCAAAGTCTCTTTAGTTGCGGCAGTTAAGAGCGGTGCTGAACGCGAGTATATATACTTTGACTGTAAGTTGTATCGGCAGTTTGTGAAAGCCATCGTTGCTGCGTGGACACGCGCACCAGACACCGAAGTGTGAAAAAGCTCGGGACTCTCAGTTGAAAGGCATCAAGCGTCGAACGACTACAAGTGCAATCCATAGCAAGGAACTATGGAATCGTATCAAACACACGATCACAGTTGACTATTACTGCTACTCGCTGCGTTCGCCATTGTCATCGATTGACAATTATTTACGTCTTGTTTCCAGACATAAACAAGATTTGTGAAAGATCAAAGGATTTTGAAAAAGAATTTTAAATTGACAAAAATGCTGTCTCGCTGGGCTGGTTGCTGTGAGTAAACTTTCTACATTTTTTTCGTTAAAAATTTCTAAATTATCAGTGTTCTCGCGATCGATCTTGCAGTAATGACTTCATCGATTGTATCTATTAACGGAATTTATCAAATCTAATCAAAACAAATCAAGTTGTATCTGCTAATTGAAAAAAAAAAACAATTCGCGAGGCCGAAAAAGATTTCAATCAAACGTATCCTCGTTGTTAATAATAGAATTCAAGTTTGACTTTGTAATTTTTGTGTCGAACGCCGACAGGTATCGCAGTGCAGCAGAGATGGGTTTTCGCCGTGATGGCTTTTTTGGCCTTGTTCAACGCTTACGCGATGCGCATGTGCCTGTCGATCACGATCACCGAGATGGCCCAACCGGTCAACTTTACCCAAGAGATGATTGACCTCGAGACCTGCCCAAATCTCGATAATCAGCTGGGAAACGGCACGAGCGTCACCGTCACTGGAGGTGGCATTTACCAATGGGATGAGCATCTTCAGGTATGTGTATATAAACACAACACACATATGATGATGATAAATTAGCACGCGTACGCAGGCAATAAACCTCGTGTTTCCGCGGCAGAATATAAGAAAACATACAAACGTACAGCATTGAAATTGCCGAGTTACGTAAAAGAGCTGTCTTGGCTTGTCTGCTCGATTGTTGAGGGAAAAAAAGAAGAATGATTAGACTCGTGCGCGCTATTGACTAGACACATGTGCTCTTGTATATGTTTTTATTATTTTCTAGAATTCACTCATAAAAACAGGCGCGTCATAGATATCGTAATATTCATGCTGTACGCATAGATTGAGAATCGATTATGAACGCCGCGTCGATCTATTTATTAACGCGAGACGTTTCCTCGCTAATTTCGTGCGATCGCATTTAAGCTGGTCGATGCATCGCATCCATTACCAAGCAGTCGCCAAGCAATTGACACTTGAAAATGACAAGTAGCTCGGCAGACTAAATGCTTGGCAATAACGAACGTAAACAGGGGAACTGTATTTATAACGTCGAGGCGCCACGAGATAGTTCGCGCGCGCGCGCGTGCAAATTGAAATTATATACGTATCAGTAAAACTTTGTCGAGTCACATGTGATTTTACATTGTACTTTTTCTTGCTCGTGACAAAAAAACTTCATTTTTATCGTGTCGTTACACGCACGATTACGAGTTTTACGGAGTATACGAGTTTTATTAGAGATAATTTGTTGAACTTAGATACGGACTCGAAGCGTAGTATTGAATAATTATTTTATAAATAGACATACGTACGCTTATAGGATTTTTTCTTTATTGAAATAGCCATATAGGTCGATTCGTGCGCCTTATCATAGACGCGCGTTTATAATATCGATAGTCCTGCGTGACGATAAACAAATTATAAAAACACGTGCACGTGCTCGTTAATTCAAACGACACGTTCTACATCGCTGACGATTGCATCATGGCGCCGCGCGTACAATATACGATACGTACAATCAATTAAAATGAATGAATTATTCGCAGGGCATCATTTTATCGTCGTTCTACTGGGGCTATGTCATCACCCACATTCCTGGCGGGCTTCTGTCGGAGAGATTCGGCGGCAAGCATACCCTCGGCTGCGGACTGCTGTTCACCGCCATCTTCACCATCATGGTGCCGCTGTGCGTCCAGTGGGGCGAGTCGACGGCCCTGATAATCTTGCGAGTGCTCATGGGCCTCGCTTGCGGCGTCATCTTCCCGTCCCTGAACACGCTGACGGCTCACTGGGTGCCCCAGCAGGATCTCTCCCTCATCACCGCCCTCATCTTCATCGGCGTGGACCTCGGCGCGATCGGAGCCACGACCCTCTCGGGCATCATTCTCAAGCACTACAGCTGGCCCATCGTGTTCTACTTCTTCGGCGGCGTGGGCCTCCTCTGGTACGTGCTCTGGCTCGTACTGTGCTACAACGACCCGGAGGAGCACCCGTTCATCTCGAAGCGCGAGACGGCCTACCTGAGGGAGGCCCTCAACGGCCACACGCACAAGAACACGCCCTCGGTGCCGTGGAGGCACATCTTGACCTCGCCGCCGTTCTGGGCTCTGCTGGCGGTGCAGGTCGGCCACGACTGGGGCCTGTACACGCTGCTCACCGACCTGCCCAAGTACATGAAGAACGTCCTCAAGTTCAACGTCGAGACCAACGGCTACCTGTCGGCTCTGCCGAATCTCTGCTCGATCATCTACCTGCTGTTCATCTCCTGGGCGACGGACAAGTGCGTCAGCGCCAACTGGGTGTCCAAGACCAACGCCCGCAAAGTCAACACGTCCATCTCGACGCTTCTGCCGGCCGTCTTCATCATCGGCGCCTCGTACGCCGGCTGCGATCGGGTCTCCGTCGTCGTCATGTTCACCCTTGGCCTCACCTTCATGGCCAGCAGTCTGCCCGGTATCAAGGTCAACTCGCTCGATCTCAGCCCGAATTACGCGGGTACGATCATGGCCCTGACCAACGGCGTGGCCTCGTTCACGGGCATACTCACGCCCTACCTCGTCGGCGTTCTGGCACCGAATCAGACTCTCAGCGAGTGGAGGATAGTCTTCTGGATCGTCTTCTGCGTCTTCTTGTTCACCAACACGGTGTTCTTGCTGTGCGCGAGCGGCGATGTGCAGAAATGGAACGATCCGGCCTTCCTCAACAAGGAGCGCCAGGAGAAAGATAAAAATAAAGCCTGAATCTCGACATGATATTATTTATTAATTTTGTATGACTTTTTTTTTAAATATACGTATATTTGTATACAATTCCATATAAATACGACGAATGTTTTGTTTTGATTTTTTTACAACTTTTTATAAGCTTTAGTTTTCTACTTACTATCGATCATATTTTTCTATAAATTCAGTCGACGGCGACTGAGATATTACTATAGTAAATAAACACTGAATATTTGAAAAACTCGCATGGAGAAATTTAAACAAAAACGTAACGTTGGCATTTATGAATGATACGAGTTGATCTCATTAAGTAATTAATACTCGTGCGATTACGAGGAAGATCTTTTAGTTTAATCAGTATCTGATATTATACTCGCTTTTAAGATCGATATCGATCGTTTTTTGCCTATAATTTTTAATTGCATTATATGTGTGCGCCAATTCAATTTCGCAATGTTGTGCAGAAGAAAACAAAGCTCGTGAAAAAATATTTTAACTCAATTATTCTCATGTTGATCCATTAATTAGCAAATTCATTCAAATAAATAAAAGTTGATTAATTGAACAAATATTATTCTTTAATACTCTAAAATCCATTTTGCCTCAGGTATTTAGTGCGTCTTGAAGTCAATTATTACCTCCAACTTATTTTTTTACTTCAATATAATCTTATTTATACAAATGATTAGAAAGCCGAACAAATAGAAAACTTTGATTACTACACGAATTTGTTTTTGTCGCCTATAGGTTCCATATATTATTATCATAAAGATATCCAACTCTTTCTTGTTGAACGAAAAAGACAGACAAGTAGAGAGAGAAAGAGAGACAAAAAAAATTGCTAGCCTACGATTTGTAATAAATATATCGTTGCGTTCATTGTGCGATAAAAGTATTATAATAATAAACTTTTAGGTATCATTAGGCTGTTGCAAATTCCACCTTGGCGTGGGGGAATATTATCTTTAAAAAAAGGTCTAAAAGCGTATACAATTCGTCGAAATTCTTTAGTGAGTTATGTCAAGTACCTTTCAAGTACATCAAGTTGCTAAAATGGAAAAATAATTACACATTTTCACCGGTTACTGTTTAGTTTTCGTCAGTTTCCATATCTTTACCTTACTCTAATTGAGAAAAGAGCTATTTTTTCGGATAAAGATCATCGGTAATAGAGATATAATGATTTTTTCCGACGAGATAGTCGAAATCGTAATTACTTTTTGGATCGTTGCTCCGCGCGCGCGTGCGCCTGTTGACACAACAGAAATGTGGAAATTGATATACATACAGACGTTACTCATACAGACAGAAATCGGCGTATATATAAGTGTGTCTATCGAAACGAGTATTCATTTAGATACATGCCACTGATTTGATAAAGTGTATCGCGTAAAACGTAGAGGCCTCAATCCCCTATCCGGCGCGCGCTTATAGCACGGCGCACTGTGAAACATTTCACTTCAGGCGCTCGATATACATAATTCAAAGGCGTTTAGAATCTGTCAAGCAACGGAGCTCTCGTCATCGGGTCGTGAGCAAAAGTGCAAATCGGGTATTAACAAGCAGTACTCGATATAAAAAGAAACTCGGGGGGGTCAACAAGTGTGCGCGAGTGTCAATCTTTCGGAAACTTGTTAATTTTTTTTTATTGTTCATCGGTAGCAGCGATCGACGATGTCATTTCTGGGCGCATGTTGTAAGCATCATCCCAGAATACTCAACTACAAAAAATTGGATTTTCCACGCGCGTGGACGCTGATAAAAAATATTTTTTCTTGTCAAGGTGTGAACCTCCAGCAGCGATGGATCTTCGCCGTGATGTGCTTCTTCGCGCTGTTCAACGCCTACGCCATGCGAGCCTGCCTCTCGATCGCCATCACGAAGATGGCCAAGCCGGTCGCGGAGAACTTTGGCAGCGACGAGTCCTGTCCGGCGGACGACTTTGCGCTGGGCGTGGCTAACGCGACCAACGCCACGATCGACGGTGGCGTCGGCGGCCAAGATTACGATTGGGACGAGTACACGCAGGTAATTGACAATGTCGCGTTCGTCGATGTCGCGTCACGATCGCTCGAATGTTTACAAATACGGTAGAAATGTCGGTCAATTGTAATGTCGGCGTTATTTGATTTGATGTTAACGACAATCCGCAGGGTCTCATCCTGTCGTCGTTCTTCTGGGGCTACATCTTCACGCATCTGCCGGGTGGCCTGATAGCCGACCGCTACGGCGGCAAGCACACCCTCGGGATCGGCATCCTGCTGACGGCGCTCTTCACCATCGCCACGCCGCTGACCGTGTACTACGGCGACTGGCTGGGCCTGATCATTCTGCGCGTGCTCATGGGCCTCGGCGAGGGCACCACCTATCCGGCCATCAACGTGCTGCTGGCCAAGTGGGCCCCGCCGGAGGAGCGCTCCAGAATCGCCTCGTTCGTCTACGCCGGCGCGTTGATCGGCACGATCTACGCCACCACCGTGTCCGGGGTCATTCTCCAGTACGCCGTGAACGGCTGGCCCATCGTCTTCTACGTGATGGGCGCCACGAGCATCGCCTGGTACGTCATCTGGTGCTTCGTCTGCTACAACAGCCCGACCGAGCATCCCTTCATCTCGGACATCGAGGTGAACTTCATCAAGGAGCGCATGGGCGACAGCGTCAGCGAGAAGAATCTGCGCGTGCCTTGGCGACACATACTCGGCTCGGGGCCGCTCTGGGCCGTGATCGTCGGCCTCGTCGGTTACAACTGGTCGATCCTCACCATCATCACGGATCTGCCCAAGTACATGAGCAGCGTCATGAAATTCTCCGTCCAGTACAACGGCTACCTCACGTCGCTCATCTATCTGTGCATGTGGCTGGGTGGCATGGTCAGCTCGTGGATAGCCGATTACCTCATAGGCAGAAAAATCATGAGCACGACCCAGGTGCGCAAGTACGGCTCCGTGCTGGCTCTCACGGGCTCGTCCTGCCTCATCATCGCCGCCTCGTACGCCGGCTGCGACAAGACCCTCGTCGTGACCATGTTCGTCCTGGCCATGACCATCATGGGTAGCGCCTTCCCCACCGTCATGGTCAACGCCCTCGATCTCAGTCCCAATTACGCTGGTACTCTCATGGCCCTGACCAATGGACTGTCGGCTCTCACCGGCATCGCTGGCCCCTACATCATCGGAGTCTTGGCGCCGCATCAGACGCTCGGCGAGTGGCGTTTCGTCTTCTGGATATTGTTCGGCGTTTCCGTCGTTAGCAACGTCATTTTCTTGGCTTTCGGCGACGGCGAGGTTCAGTACTGGAACGATCCTGATTTTAAAGTGAAAAACGCCAAAAGTAACGACCGACGGACTGAGGAAAAAGTGCGTGTTTAGACGTAGATTAACAGACGCGATTAGGGTGTAGTGTATCGTATAACACAAAAAATTCCAAGACAGAATCTTTCTAGTTTTAGCGAGTAATTAACCATTACCTTAAGTTCTTTGTTATAATGATGAGTGATGATGTTAAAAGTGCGTAGAATACTTATTTAGTGTACGACACATGATTGAGCAATATATTGTTTCGTTTAAAAAAAATCAACTTTAAAAAAAATCAAAAGGAAAAAGCTAATACGATCATGTGCTTTATCTAGTAAAGTAGTTGACAAATAATTTTTATACCTATTATACAAGTACAATAGCGATAAGGAGCTGGAAAGCGACTCGAATAGTTTTATACCTCCTGTAAGAATAAAAATATCGTGAACATCTTGTGAAACGTCTTTCTTTGACGTCAATATATATATGCGAGTACTGCAGTTGCTCGACGTTTTGTAATTTTTTACTAATACAATACATGTAACTTTTTTTTTTTTAATATAAATTATTCAGATTTATATCGAAATAATTAAAATTTCGATCACTCAACGATTACACGGCTCTTTAATTATTCACGCTCGTATATTCCTTTGTCTCGTTCTTTTTACTTGCATGTATTTTTATTCATGTCGGACTCGGCGCGTAGTGCGCGCGGTCGATTTGAAACGTAAAAGAAGACAAGAGTTTCATTAGTTTAGGATGTATTGAACTTCTTCGATGTTCATCTTTTTTCCCACTGCGACATTTACTGATTGGACAGAGGTTATTAAGTAAAGTGATTTTGATTTGCTAAATTGAAAGGTTGATTGGCGATGATCGACGCGTACGCGTATACATATATCGGGCAATCGGTCGTAGTTACCGCCGCGTAGACGATTTTTCGAAATGTTTAATAGCCCACGCGCGTTTCTGGAAATTAATTCGTCGGCTTTACCAATTTCTGTTAGAAAAACAAAAAAAATTGTCAATGACACAGAGGCACGCGCGATGAGTTGTCGAAATTCACATAAAGTCATACAATTAGTTTAATACACGTATTATGTTTTATAAATGATCCGTTGTAAAAAACTTTGCCAATAAACCATCGCTATTATCTTTATAATACATGTCTATCCTCCTCCTTTATATTCTTTAATACATTAGCATACTTTGAAGCGATCATGCTCTCGGCTCGTGCGCGCAATAGTGAACATTTGCCATGCTTAATTCTACTTTTTTTATTTTTTATATACGTGTTTGACTACATACTTGTTGAATTGATTTCATAAGATAATGAAAATAATAACTATTGCTTCAAAATACAGACTCGTGTATTTATTTTTTCTTTATTAGCGAAAAAGAAGTGTGTTTATTTGATGTAATTTTTTGAATAAACAGTGAAAAAAGCTCATTATTTACGTGTCATCGAATAGATCAAACTCTTAAGCCTGCTGTTATAATGATAAATTATTTTTTCTTCTTCACTAGCAGACGATATATGGGATTACATAACAATTGAATGAAATTCATGATCTTTGTTCTGCGAAAGCAAATGCAACCGAACGATAAATAACATTCGATAAATTGAAAATCAGATAGGCCAAAAATGTTATGACCTCATATCAGTTATCTCAAACGGCCACACAATTCTTAGCAGAAGACAATAAAGAGAATGAGCAAAAAAAAGTTGGCCAATTTTATTTATTTTTTTATCAGTTTATAATAAAAGACTCAAGACTGCAGACGTACAGAAGCAGCGAACAGAAGTAGTAGCTAGTCTCATGGTAGTTGTATAGTGAAGTAGGAACAAGGAAGGAGAGAGAGAAAGAAAGAGAGAGAGACAGCTAATTATTGATAGTTGCTCCGTTCATTAAAAGATCCAATAGTATTTCAGCTTTATATCAATTGACTCGGTAGTAGGGGAATAAATGAGCAGCGATCGCTATATAGCACGGTGTATTTCTTTTCTATACTTGTTTAATATCACTGTTTAATTTTTCTCCTCCCTTTGGCCCGAGAGGAGTTTTTCATCTGTGTTGATCGTTTATATCCATGAAAGGTGCCATCGCGAGTTTGCCATTCGTTAGCCGGACGTTGCTCGGATTAGTTGGTGATTTGATTCCTGCGCTGCGCCGCGGACGAGTGACACAAAATTTAACTATCAATTTTTTTCAAAATTCCTTCATCAAATGGAGGATTAAAAAGTTTGCGAATGTGCTGGTTTATTTTAAATTTCTCGAAAGAAAAATATTTCTGGAATGATTAGATGAAGATGATAAAATTGGATTTATCAGCGCTGAGAGTCAAAAATAGTTCAAATTGAAAAGTATTAACATTGTTTATATCGTAGATCGCCAATTGTAATAAAAAAATTTGTCAACAATGAAGAGCGACGGGGCTATAAACTTGTGGAAAGCTTGCTGTAAGTAATTTTCATCATACATTTCTCATTTATTAGAACAAATTAATTTATCAGTGTATTGCCTGATGAGGTCAACCGAAAAGACATCGGAACGTTGTATTGAATATAAGTATATACACGAAAATCGCGTGAAAATCGATTTCAAATAAGCTTCTGCAAAACCGTACGGAATGTAAACAATTTTAAATAATATTTTTAAATTGAATTTATCGGTTGAGCTAAGGAATCTAGAATTAAACTTGAAGCAATATTTTATTTTTAGTTATTGAATGAGTTTCGACGAAATAATTAAATTGTACAATCTGTAATTACTATGTCAATAAGTTAATGATAGTTGAAGCAAGTCAATAACTAATTAAATAATTTGCATTTAAATAAAACAGAAAAAAATTTTAATTTTCAAAAAATTTCAGTGATAACTATTGGTTGGTAAGTGTAAAATGAACTCATGATGATACTTTTAACGCAGGTATCCATATCCCGCAGCGATGGATTTTTGCGCTAATGGGATTTTTAGGACTGTTCAACGCCTACGCCATGCGGGCTTGTCTGTCCATAACCATAACGCAGATGGTAGTGCCGACCACTCATGCATTCATTTCCGAGGACGAGACGTGTCGATTCAATGACACGATCTCTACAAACACAACCGTCTACCCTGACGTAACGAGTAAAGGGATTTACAACTGGGACGAAACTCTCCAGGTTATTGTTCATTATCTAATTTGTTTTTTTACAGCTTAGCTAATCGTTTGAAAAATTCTAAAAAATTAGATATAATTCGGTAATGTTGTGATACAAAGAACGATTATCTAATACCACTATGTATACAAAAAAAATCACGAGCCGTGACTCAATAGATTATAAACTTTATCACGTTATCAGGGCATAATTTTATCATCGTTCTACTGGGGCTACGTAATCACTCACATACCTGGGGGTATGATGGCCGAGAAATTCGGTGGCAAGTACACCCTCGGGATCGGAATCCTGCTCACGGCCGTCTTCACGCTGCTGACACCGAACGCCGTCACCTGGGGTGGGCACGTGGCCCTCATCATCATTCGCATACTCATGGGTCTAGGCGAGGGCACGACCTATCCCGCGGTCAACGTCATGCTGGCCCAGTGGACGCCGCCCGAGGAGAGATCGAAGACGGGCTCGTTCGTGTTCGCCGGCGCACCCCTCGGCACCGTCTACGCCACCACCGTCTCGGGCCTGATTCTGCGCTACTCCAGTGCTGGCTGGCCGGCCGTCTTCTACTTCTTCGGCAGCATGAACGTGCTGTGGTTCGTCGTCTGGGTATTCGTCTGCTACAACAATCCCCAGGAGCATCCCTTCATCTCGGAAAAGGAGATGAAGTTTTTGGAGGAAAAATTGAGCGATCACACGCACAAGAAGCCACCGCCGGTGCCGTGGCGTCACATCCTCAAGTCGAAGCCCCTCTGGGCGCTCATCATCGCTCTCATCGGCCACAATTGGGCCTTCCTGACGATCGTCAGTGATCTGCCCAAGTACATGGACAGCGTGCTCAAGTACTCGATCCAGAACAACGGCTATCTTTCCTCGCTGGCCTATCTGTTCATGTGGATCGGTAGCCTCATCACGTCGTTCATCGCCGACTGGTCGATCGCCGCTAGTTACCTGACCATAACTCAGGTGCGGAAAATCGGCTCGACCATCGCCCTGATCGGGCCGGGGCTGTGCATCGTCGGCGCCTCGTACGCCGGCTGCGATCGAGTCTTCGTCATGGTGCTGTTCACCGTTGGCATGGCTCTGATGGGCACGGCTCTGCCCGGCATCATGGTCAACGTGCTGGATCTCAGTCCGAATTACGCGGGTACTCTCATGGCCCTGACCAATGGAATCTCAGCTCTGACGGGCGTCGTCGCGCCCTGCATCGTCGGCGCGCTCACGCCCCATCAGACCCTCAGCGAGTGGCGGCTCGTTTTTTGGATCGTCTTCGCCGTCTCCATTCTGACCAACTTGATCTTCTTGTATTATGGCAGCGGTAAGGTTGAATACTGGAACGATCCCGAGTTCGTGGAGAACGATCGTAAAGAAAACAAAAAAACTGTCAAAGATGTTGAATCGAAATGACTGTAGGACGAGTAATGACAGACTAACGAAAAAATCTATTTTTCGTAATATTTTAGTAAATTGATATTTATTTGTAATGTTCTATAAAATTTGACGATATTTATGCGTTTAGAAGAACCATACGAAGCTGTGATGGACGACGGTATTTTAGACGATCAATTTACTTGTGACTAGTATAAATTGAGCAAATACTATTTTTATACTTGTTTGTTGATTTTACACATGATTGTTTATGAAAATATTTTAAATTAGTGCCAAGCGCTGCGCACACATGAGATAATTGTTAATTAATTTATATATTATAACATAATGCAACGAATCTATTAAGAGTTTTTCTCTGAGTTATCATGTAAAAAATTAAACAACATCCTGTTCTGTATCAGAAACGATTCATTCGTCCTGACACCTAGAATAATTGAGTGCTAATTTTTTTTAATTAAGCAACGTTATGCAAATATAAATATTGATAACAATGGTTTTCGTCTCGTTGATATTTATTGCATCATTTAGCAATCTAATGATTGCATCAGATATACAATTGTTGAAATGGAAATTCCCTGTGATGTTCAAGTTTGTAGTATCGCAAACATGTTGTGTCTCTTCATAGTTTCCATTAGCAAAATATATAATGCGGAGAAAACAATGTTGCAGATGTTATGCATTTTAGCGTCAAACTATCATAATAAAAATCTTTTGATCGTGAATTTTCACAAAAAAGTCAATGCCTACCTATGCTATTACAATGTAGAGTCATGAATCAAAATGTTGTAAGCTCATTCCATGTTTAATGTTTTTATAAGAATATTATTTGAAGAAAATTAATTGTTTAAAAAATACCTAGCACATTTTAGTGATTTCAATAAATCACTGTCAATAAAAAAAATTAAGATAAAACATTTGACCAAAATTAGATGTAAAACTGATATAAGTGGTTTCTCTTCAAATTTAAATATCAAACGTTATCGAGATGAATTACAGCTGTATGAGTGGTGTTGCGGGGGGCATCACGAGATACAAGAAGTATCGTGTGCGTCACAATAAATCTCAAAAGCGGATTTCGTAATGATAAACTTGAACATTACAGAGAGTAAAAGTGTGATGTCACGAGAAGATTGCTATCTAACTACGATAAAATATATAATTGACTAAAACGTTTTTTATAAAAAAAATGTATTTTAGTTTGATGAGTTAATTTTTTAGACATATAGAGATTAATTGAACAACTAAAAGGAATATTTTTTAATGTATAGAAGTTTATTATTTATTAATAAAATTGTTAATAAAAAAATTAAAAAATGATTAAAGTATTGTTTTAATTACCGTAGAGAACTTTCTAAACTTTTTGAAGTATAACCGTATCAAATAGTAAATCGGTAACAACGAGAAGTAAAATGACCTCGTCTTAATGTGACGACATAGACTCGTTTTTAACCGATCGAGTTCTGAAAAAGTATAATAATTGCATAATTTTGTTTTAAATCGACTCTTAAAAAATTTCATAAACCAGTATCGTTGCCGTAAACAACTTTGCCAAATTTTAGCCAATTTCATCAGCTGATTTTCTTACTGTAAGTAGGTTCGAACTTTTTGATTTCTATTCTCCAGTTAATGTCGTATTGAATTTTGAACTGATTTTGAATACTGCATTGAAAATTAAGTTGAAAAATTTAAATGTAATGAATAAAATTAAAATTCAATATTTATGAGTCGAAGTCAGTCTATTTATTTAACCGGATCGATAATAATTTACTTTAATATCGAGGCAAATAACCTCACGCTGCTACTAAAATATTGCGTTATTAAGCGAAAATTTCCAAGCACATTATGCATTTTTCCCAGCTTCCTAGCAAACAAAATTTAATGCAGAATAGAACGTTAGATTCGTTCGCTCTTATCTTATCTTCTAATTGTACATATCGTAACATTGACATTGTAATTTTCTTCATTCAAAAGTGCGTAAGAAAAGGATTGAGCGAGGTATAAGTCTTATTGAAGATTCGACACCATAAGCAAAAAGATGTTATCAACGTGGAGAAGCTGTTGTAAGTATAAAAACTTCTCGACTCGTTTGACGCTCAATAGATGCATTTGAAATAAATTTTTTTTATTTTTCAGGTTTTAACGTGCCACAAAGATGGCTATTCGTCTACATGTCTTTTATCGCCGTGATGATGGGCAATTCCATCAGAGTTATATTGTCGATTACAATCACCAGTATGGTTTACCCCTTGCACGAAGTTCATACCTACATCGATAACACATGTCAAGGACCTCATCAAACTGTCGTGAAAAATATGACATCGTCAGTGGATACAATATATAATTGGGATGAATACACTCAAGTAAGTGTATTATATTAAATATTAGTTGGTTAATTTAAGGATAAATTTTACGTGGCATAAATTTTAAGGGTATCATCCTATCGTCGTATTTTTGGGGCTATGCAGCCACACAAATTCCTTTCGGAAGACTCGCCGAACGACTTGGTGGAAAATACATATTTGGCATGAGCATCTTCGTCCCGTCGATCTTGACGTTCCTGATGCCGATCGGCATCGAGTGGGGCGAATCCACGGCTTTGATAGTGCTCCGCATGCTCATGGGTGTGGCGAGCGGTGCCATGTTCCCGGCCTGCAGCACGCTAATATCGTACTGGTCGGCACCCGAGGAGCGCACCAAGATGTGCACCATCATTTTCGCAGGTGCCATAGCCGGCACGATTCTCGGCACGACGATGCCGGCCGTGATAATACGCTACTCCGGCTACGGCTGGCCGGCCGTCTTCTACTGGTTCGGAATCATCGGCATGGCTTGGTTCCCCTTCTGGATCTTTTTCTGCTACAACAGTCCCGAGGAGCATCCGTTCATAATGCAGCAGGAGTTGGATTATCTGCGAGAGAGCCTGAAGCAGCAAAAGTCGAAAAAATCATCACCAGCTCCGTGGGCGAGTATATTAAAATCGAAGGAAGTCTGGGCGTTCGTTGTCGCGTTGTGCGGGTGTGATTGGGCATACTTCACTGTGGCCACCGATTTACCAAAGTACATGAGCAGTGTCGTCAAGTTCAGCATCGAGGATAACGGCTACCTGTCCTCCCTGCCATACTTGAGCATGTGGATCGGCTCATTCTTCTGCTCTTGGCTGCTCGATAAAATCGTGAAAAAGCAGTGCTTGTCGCTGACCAATGCTCGCAAAGTCTTCGCAGCGATATCGCTCATGGGGCCGGGAGTATTCTTAGTCGCCGCCTCGTACGCCGAGTGCAATCAGATGCTCGTGGTCGTCATGTTCGTTCTCGGATTGACTTTTATGAGCGCAGCTTATCCCAGCATCATGGTGAATAATTTAGATCTGAGCCCAAATTTCGCTGGCACCTTGATGGCGTTGGCCAATGGAATTGCTGCTCTAGGGGGTATACTCACGCCATACGTAGTGGGTATTTTGACGCCGCATCAAACCATCGGGGAGTGGCGATTTGTATTCTGGATTGTTTTCGGCGTCGCCACCTGTGCAACTGTATACGTTTTGATTTTCACCAGTACGGAAGTGCAATCATGGAACGAACCACATATGGTTGACAATGATCTTGAAAAAAATGTGTCAGAAAAAGAATACGAGTGTGCCAAGAAAATTGATGAAGAGATTGCACGATAAATAACTCTTTTCTTCCAACAAATAATGACTTTTTAAAGAGTGACTGATAAAAACATGTATGCAATGTGAGATTTGTGAATAGAAACACTTTTAATTAATTTTAGTTCCTAGTCAATGTCCAAGTATACTGATTAATCATTTGAACATTTTTATCATAAAATTTCATTGATTTGTCAAAAATAATTTTATTTTTTACGAAAATATAATAAAAAAATCTTATTATAAATTTTTCAAGCTTTGAATGAAACTATAACCTTTCATAAAACTATAAATTAATTAATTATAGGTATTTATAAGAATAACTAAAATAGATACTTAATTATTCAATAAATGAAGATTTATTGTTTTTATGAGAGATGAAGTATAAATTATTTACTCACCCCATTACGAGATATACGAGGTCGTTTACATTCACCTACTGACTTTGACCGAGCTTTGGGCTTGGCTATTTTTAAAATGAGCGATCATACAGACTCACAGTTATAGTTCAGCCGCTCAGCTATGTCGGCCAAAAGTTTGTTTAGAAAAAGTAATTACTAAAAAATAAAATAATTTAGAGTGTTTTTTGATCTAATGAAATTATTATCTCACTTTTAAGAGCTTGTACTACTTACGTTTGTTAAAAATAACAAATATTTCCTTTCAATTTCATCATTATCAAATTTCAAATTAATTAATCAGTGCACGTATAGTAACCCTTCAAATTGTGTGTCAATTGTATGTAACATTATCTTGTACTGTCTGAAAAGGTACTTTTTTGTCTATAATTTGAATATAAATCTTGATGATTCAGGTATAACTCTATCTATTTTTCACCAAATTTTTAATTTCTTTGATACATATTTTTCATACATTAATCATTTGTTGGTTACTTCATGAAGTTTGAAGGAACGATTATAATACCTAGGAATTGATAGAAACATTTCTTTCTTGACCGATACTCACGATATCGTACTGATAATTTTTACTCTAATTAATTGTTAATATAATTTGAAAGTTAAATAAACAACATATTGCACAATTTATACTATGATAATTATGTAATTCGTCCATATTTTCTGAGAGTAATGAACTGTTATAATAAAATTTATTCGTCGCAAATGATTTATAGTTAAGACATAATTCACTAAAATCTGCAAATATAATCGCGTCACTTTCCTAAGACGATGATTGACATTTATGTTTTTCAAATTTGACTAGTATCGTGAAAATGAGTTATATCATCAGAATATTTGCTAAAGCTTTCTTTGCACAGAATTAGCGAGAAATGCAATCGAAAGTAACTACTTGATAGAGTAACGATCATTCCCAATTGCAAACTAGACAAATTCTCTGCGTTTAGGCAGTAAAATTGTATTATTTATTTTTCGTGATTTTTGTAAAAAAATTTGTATATAATTCCAATTGATTAATATTATGTAATAGTTTTGAAAATTATTATGACTAAAGTCTTTGACCTCGGAAACAAATCGAGAAATAAACAGTCGATCTTTGTTTTTATAATAAAGACCAATGTAAACTTGTGAAAATTAAGAAAATTCCTTCCGGATATTTATTTTTATGTATTGCAGTTTATATTCTGCTATTTGTTGTGTCACGTGTCTACGAGAAAATTAGTAGATCTGCCAAGTTCAATAATCTCATAAGAATTTTCAGTGTATCTTAGATTATTTTAATTGTTTTTTAAATGAGTGAAAAAGTGAATTTCATATCGCTAAAAATGAAGTTTTTCTGTTAAATTTTTTATTTGTACCGAACCAATAAAAAGTGGTTGAAAAAAAAGTTATTGTGCTACAAAAGAAAAAGTATACCTCAAGCATGTCTTCGAATGACAATGTATCGAGTAAGTATACAAAGACGTTCATCAAGTGCGATTATTCCGTCAATTATTTTTTTAATAATTTGTTCAAAGGTTTTAAAGTTTCTCAAAAATGGGTTTTTGCTATACTGTCTTTCATGGGTATTTTCATCAGTAGTGCATTACGCGCTGTTCTACCGATTGCCATTACTGAGATGATAAAGCATGCAGAAGAATCTAATTTTACTAGTTCAGAAATATTTAATACCAGTGAGATTCAAGTAGAAAAAGACGAAGTCTACGATTGGGATGAATACACTCAGGTTTGAAGTTGAAAAAAAATAACATTTGACTCGTAAAAAATGGACTTTCAATTTTATGTACAGGGTCTAGTGTTGTCCTCATTTTATTGGGGATATGCTACAATTCAATTTTTCTTCGGCTCCCTATCGGAGCGCTTCGGTGGCAAATACATGTTTGGCCAAAGCATTTTGATTCCAGCAATATTCACGTATTTCACACCGATAATCATTCAGAGTGGTGGATCAATGGCATTGGTTATTTCACGGGCTCTGATGGGCATGTCGAATTGCGGAACTTATCCAGCTATCAGCACAATGATTACCGAATGGACGATACCGTCGGAGCGATCGAAATTCGCAACAGCCATTTACGCCGCATTCATACCAGGAATGATTTTTAGTACGACTGGCTCGGCATTGATAATCGAGCATTCTGGACTCGGTTGGCCTGGAGCTTTCGAAATCTTTGGAGTTTTCGGGATCGTTTGGTTTGTGGCGTGGGTATTTTTATGCTACAACAACGTCGAGAGTCATCCGTTCATATCGCAACAAGAGAAAAAATATTTTCAAGAGAATTTACAATCGCAAAAGCAATCGAAATTACCACCAGCTCCTTACAAGCACATCATGTTATCGAAAGAGTTTTGGGCTTTTGCCATTGGCCTCATAGGACATTCTTGGTTATTTTATTTAATATCAAGCGATTTACCAAAGTACATGAGCAGCGTCGTTGGATATTCTGTCGAAGACAATGGTTACCTCATTTCCATAGCCTATCTCTTTATGTGGCTAAATACTATTTTTAGCTCTTGGATCAGCGATGCAGTACTCGCAAAAAATTTAATGTCCGTGACTGCTCTCAGAAAAGTCATTGGCACTGTGGCATTGACAGGGCCGGCGTTTTGTATCATCGGAGCTTCGTACATCGAAACAAATCGAGTTCTCGTAGTGGCCTTATTTGTCATGGGAATGTTGCTCATGGGAAGTACGTATTCAAGTATTCTCGTGAATGGATTAGATCTGAGCCCGAATTACGCGGGTACCGTGATGGCTATTGGAAATGGTTTGAGTGCCATTTGTGGAATACTTACTCCGTATTTTGTGGGAGTCTTAACTCCCAATCAAACTGCTGGCGAATGGAGACTGGTCTTTTGGCTGGGATTTGTTATAACTATCATTTCTAATTTGATTTATGTACTCTATGTAAGTGGAAAAGTTCAAAAGTGGGACAATTATAATTGTGATAAAAAAAATTTAAATACCATTGAAAATTAAATTTAGTTCTACATTCAATAAAAATTCAAACTGAATTAATTGTTATTCATACAAAAAATTAATAAAAATTAAAAAATATATATATCAATTATGTTTAAAATTTATTTGAGATAAAAATACGAATGTATAATTTAAAAATGAATTTTAGGGATATCTTAATAAATATTTTTTATTCAATGATAGTATTCAAAAATCTTATTTGACATTAAAAAAATGTCTCCAAGAAATTTTTTGAACATTTTTTTGCACACACAATTTCAAATAATAGTTACTAGATGCAACTTAAAAAAACAAAAATTATTCTAGGGATTTTTTTTCATCTAAACAAAAAAAATTACTAGATTTAAAATCTATCAAAAAGCCAAAGCATGGGTGATGGATACGGCGTGCTCTCTCGTGTTACGTTTTTGTCATTCACATTTCTGAGCCCGGTCGATGTGCTTCGAGCATGCCGTGCGACATCTGTTCAACACAAAAGAAATTTTTTTACAAGCGTGCGAGTTTCGAGTGTTGTGAGGTTCTCAAAATTTTCCATTCGAACGAGAGTCTACTGCTAATTCAGTAGCCATGAAGGGTAACTAAAAAAACAAATTTATCAATTAATATGCTCAAATAATCTCGTGTCAATGTCTGAGAAATTTTTTCGATGAAAATTGTGAAAAATACAGTAAATACATCGTGAAATTACGAGTGTAATTGTGGCTACAATGAATCCGAAACAATTTGTGGAATGTCGTGCTAAAATAATATTTATTAGACTCTACGAGAGCTTAATTTTAATTTAAATGTTTAAACATTCTTTTTTCTGTGAGACTACGATCGAATTCGATTTTTTTCAAAATTAAAAAAAAATGTTTCATACTTTAAAGTTTTAAATAGTTACATCAAGTTTTCATCACAGAAGTTATAGAGCACGTCGTTACCTCGAGTACATTCATTCACTTTCACAAAAGGGCTTATGAGGTAATTCCAACCCTCCGCCTTTTATACAAAGCTTCCATCAGTTATTATACGACTTCATATTATAAACATGTATTATGATATCGTTAAAGAGAGAAATGTGAGACTGTAACGAGACACATCATAAACGATTTATGTAAGTGATTTATTTCTTTACCGAGTAATGTTTTGTAGATCATGAATCTTTTAACAAAAAAAAATTTTTTTCATTGAAGTCAATGTTCAGTCGAGACAATATGTCAATAAGAAATGTTGTAAAAATTCACGAATAAAATGCTTTATGATGACTATGTAAATAAGAGATCAAAATCTGGTAATTTTTTTTGTGTAAGGTACAAATAAACGTTTACTTATTTAAACAGATATTATTTTTATTTCCTATAAAAATCAAAAAGATTTTACATGTAATTTTTTCAATTTCGAGTAATCAAAAATGTTTGACATCGTGCAGAGATTGAATCTTTATAAACACTCGAGCGCACGACCATAGCATCAACTCATTATAATCGGATCGTATCTACATACATCCACGCATTGTATAGCGTCAATCATAATATCCATGCCAGATGACAAAAAAACTGCACAAAAGCATTACAAAAAGAGCGAGGTTCGTTTGAAATTCGTAAAATCCTTATCATTTTCCTCTCGAGCTTATCTCGATCGTATAGATTAATAATGTGCGATTTTACAAGATTTTGTAGACATTGACGATGTAGTTTCAGTTGCACGCACGTCGCGACAGATTACACAAACTTCAACAATAATATACATGTTATAATGCATCGATCGTCGTGGACAGATCTTCGCCGTGAGTTTTTTTGTACCGACTAAAAAAGAATTGCGATGATCCGCGCAACGCACGCGTGACATTCCAATTTCACAATTTTGCTGAAATGAAAAGGCATCGACGATACACATAGCAGACAATTAAAAGCCGCGATCTATATTTGTGCGTGTTTAACTATAACGAGAAAAGCTTGCCGATGTACACAAACACGTGCGCGCGAGCTTAGGCCATCGCTTCGTTACATAATGGCCATTTTAATTGAAACATAATTTGTGATAAATTTTAAACGAAGCGAAATTCGATTCCGATTATACAATTGTCAAATAAGAGTGTATTTTTTTACTCTAGTTAGATAGACACAGGTCGCGTGCGCACGTGACACGCTCGACGAGCAGCACAAACGTCAATTATGATAGCAACAAAATACTACAATCCGATCGAAATAAGGTAACAACTGTATTTTTGTGTGTTGCAATGTCAGTCTCAGATCTGAGGATAACGCAGCGATGGGTGTTCGCGATCCTGTCGTTCATCGGTATATGCCTGGGCTACTCGCTTCGAGCCATACTGTCCATCACCATCACCCGAATGGTACCGGAGCGCAACAAAGACGCGACGAGAGCAGCTGCCGTGTCGAATTACACGACGATCGATGCAGCGGCCGAGACAATGGGCAGCGGTCTTAACAGCACGATGGAGACCGCCTCGATCGATCTCTCCAACGGCGCCACATACGATTGGGACGAATTCACGCAGGTTCGTGAAAATCGGATTCCCAACAGCTACTCCACGATAAAATGTAGCCGCGAGTATCGGCGTTTTAAAGCTTTTTACGTAAAAGCGCATCCGACAGGTGGCGATAATTAATAGACATCGATGGCGAATATTTTTCCATTACAGGGCATAATCTTATCTTCGTTCTACTGGGGCTACGTGTCGACGCAGTTCATTTACGGCATACTGGCCGAGCGTCTGGGCGGGAAAATGTTCCTCGGACTGGGCGTGCTGGTACCGTCGCTACTGACCATCCTGACGCCGACGGCGGTGGCGTACGGCGGCGCCAAGGCCCTCATCGGCGTGCGCGTCCTCATGGGCATGTCGAACAGCGCCATGTACCCGTCGGTGAGCGCGATGATACCCGCCTGGACGACCAAGGCCGATCGGACGCGCTTCGCCGGCTTCATATTCGCCGCGCTGATCCCGGGCCTGATCGTGGGCACCGTGTTCCCGCCGCTGATCATCGAGCACCTCGGCCGGGGCTGGCCCTGGGTCTTCTACATCTTCGGCGCGGCCGGGGCCGTCTGGTTCCCCGTCTGGCTGATATTCTGCTACAACAAGCCGAGCGAGCATCCGTTCATCAGCGAGACCGAGAGGCTGTATCTGCGCCAGGACTACCTCGACGCCGACGGCCACGAAAAGTCGTCCGAGACTACGCGGCCGAAGATGCCGACGGCGCCCTTCCGCTACTTCCTCCTGTCCAAGGAGTTCTGGGCGTTCGTGATCAGCTACGCGGGCCACAGCTGGGTCTTCTTCACGATGGTGAGCGGCCTGCCCAAGTACATGAACGACGTGGTGGGGGTGAGCATCGAGAGCAACGGCTACTGGACGGCCGTCTCCTACCTGTGCATGTGGCTCTGCACCCTGGCGAGCTCCTGGATCAACGACCAGCTGGTGGGCCGCGGCATCATGACGCGCACCAACAGCATCCGCGCGCTCGGCTTCGTCTCGCTGACGGTGCCCTCGTTCTGCATACTGGGCGCCTCCTGGGCCGGCAACAACACCACCCTCATCGTCGGCCTCTTCGTCCTCGGCATCACCATGATGGGCACGGCCTATCCGACCATCATGATCAACATCATGGACCTGAGCCCGAATTACGCGGGCTCGCTCATGGCCATCGGCAACGGACTGGTCGGCCTCACGGGCGTCTTCACGCCCTACGTTTTTGGCCTCCTGACGCCCTATCGCACGGCCGCCGAGTGGAGGCTCGTCTTCTGGATCTGCCTGGCCGTGGCGACTCTCAGCAACGTCTACTTTCTCATATTCATCAGTGGCGAGGTGCAGAAGTGGAACGATCCCGACTACCTCACAAGGAAAAAGAACGAGAGAAACAAGCAGCGGATCGATTCTTCTTTCTACAAAACCATTCATTCTAGTATTAACTTTTTAACTTGTAAGAAGCATCATTAGTTATTTCATCATTTTCATTCACGATCAAATATCCTTCTCATCTCGTCTTAAGTAGTATTATAATGTTATTGTTAATTTAACTGTAGCGATCGACCAACTTATTTCATGGATCAATATACTAGAATTTTTTCATATACATTTTTTTTCTGTCAAAATAAGTATTCATGAAAAGTAGGCTTGAAATTTGTAATTAAAGATTTTATTTATCTATTCAAAAGCCATTGGACGGCTGCCGCGAATTTTTTCGAACGAGGTCAGTAACCAAATAAGAACGTAAAAAAAGTCGGCTGGTTGCTCATTGCTGATTGCTCCTACATTTCTATATATTTCGCATTATGTTGGCCATATTGCCATTGTCGTCTGCCCCGTCAACACATGGCTTTGTTTGGACTTTTTTTTTCTGTTGCGGCAGCGATGATGTAGAAAATAGTATCGATATCGAGTGTTATTGCGATTAACTATTTTATTTTTGATGCAAGTGTCAATGATACTTGGTATAAAAAGTGCTTCGTTGTTTACTGATGCATTCAAGTTGCCATTTACAATGTCTCAAAAAAAAAGTGATTTCAAAGACGAATCTTGCGAAAAGATTGAGAATTTTATTCACTGCGAAAAGGATGAACTAGACTTGGGTATTACTTTGAAGGGAGGACAAAGTTTTAGGTATAATATTGCTGACAAACCTTATAATTTTCAACCGCGTTTAATGCATTGATCAAAATTATTGCACTTCTCAGATGGGTTGAATGTAACGATGGTTATCGAGGCGTTTTTCACAATACAGTTTGGACGTTAGTTCAACGAGACAATAAAATATTTTACACGATACATGGATCCCTGAAAAATGACTTAAATTATGGAGAGATATTATCTAAATATTTTCGTCTCGATGTGTCATTGAAAGAAAATATACAAAAATGGGCTGATTGCGATTCACATTTCAAAACTGCTTACGATCAAGTTGGTCCTGTGAGGATGTTAGATCAGGATATTGTTGAAAATTTGTTTTCTTTTATTTGTAGTTCTAATAATAATATAACAAGGTATTGTAAACTTTATGAATTTTTATAGATAACAAAGTTATTATTGAATTGATAATGTATTTTAGGATATCAGGAATGGTTGAAAAACTTTGTAGAATATTTGGCGATAAAATATGTGAATTAGAAAATCAAACATTTTTTGATTTTCCAAAAATTGAAAATCTTACCAGTAGTGATGTTGAATCTACTTTACGTAAAGAAGGTTTTGGATATCGTGCTGGTTATATTATTAAAAGTGCTAAAAAACTTAAAGAGCTAGGAGGTAGGATGTGGCTACAAGGACTTATGAAAGAAAATGGTGTTACATATGAGCATGCAAGAGAAAATCTCATGTTATTACCTGGTATTGGACCAAAAGTAGCCGATTGTATTTGCCTCATGTCACTGGGTCATTTGGAGGCAATTCCTGTTGATACTCATATATTTCAAGTGGCTTGTGCTAACTATACGCCTCACTTAAGTAAACAAACTGCAGTCACACCAAAAATACATCAAGAAATAAATGTTTATTTGCGTAATTTGTGGGGACCACTGGCTGGTTGGGCTCAAACTATAGTGTTTTGTGCAAAAATTACCTCTGCAGACAAAAGAAAAAACAAAAAACGTTCAGCTAAGGAAAATGTTCAAAAATCTTGTCAAACTAAAAGAACTCGAAAAAAAACTTAGAAACTTTGATGATTATAATTTTAAACAATAATTCAATACAAAAATAGTAAGTTAGAACTTCGATTTATTTATAAATTTCTGTTATCTTCACACAATAATTTTTTTGCTTTTAAATAATATAATCATATTATGAATTATTTAAAAGAAAAAATTTTACATATTAATTACAATATATTTAATCTAATGTATTAAATTCATGTACAAAATATAATATACAAAGTTTAATGCTAATGTTAGCATTCATATTTGAATTGCAATATAATGTATATTAATATCTAATCAGTTCAATGAAATTTTGATCACAACTATAAATACTTAAAACAGTAATCAGACAGATTTTATTTTAAGATTAGAAGAGAATAATTATTTTAAGAGATGTAGTGTAACATTTTTTTAGAGTAAAATAGCTGGTAGATTGGAACTTGATGATGGCAAAAGTTCAATAAGATTTTCTTCGTTCATTATGTGTTGCTTTCGCAGTGGTTTACATCCTACCAATGCAAAATCAAAATCATCTAGACATGCAGTATGATATTGAAGTTCAATGTCTTCATCTTCATCTTTCACTACGAAAACATTAAAATGACAATTCATTATTAAATTTATAAGTTCAGATTGATTGTTTGCTCTCTCCAGTTCATTAACAAAACTACCAGGGTTCAGAAAATTCCTTGCCTCAATTGACTTGATTATTTAAATTCTTTATCCATAAAAAGTTGTCTTTTACAAAAAATGGGATTCTCTCAAATGAATTTTTTACTTGCCTGGTTTAAATAATTTTTTGTCTGATTTAAAATTTTTTATCACCCACAGAAACTTCTTTGAAAATTTCACTTCAGAAGAAAATATCAGTAGGAATAAACAAAAAAAATCAAAAATTATCTAATTACTGGTTTAATACATATAATAACGGAACTAGTAACTAGACATATTACCATAAAATTTATTTTTACAACAATTTTTGAGTATTTTATACAAAAATAAAATAAATAGACAATAATTGATTCAACTTTTATATACCATTAAAATAGAGGCAAGGTGAAACATTTATATTATATGGAAAAAAATTCAAATATTTATTTTTCAAATTACTAACAGTTTTACCTTATTACTAATGTAACTTACCTTTCTGAAGAATTTTAGAAAATATATTTTCTATTTTATATTTTAGTCCGGGATATAATTCTAGGAGTTCTTTTTTTTGACGTGATTTTAGTAAAGATAAACAGTGTAACTGTAAAGTAGCTGATACTGAACAACTGTTAATAATTTTCATTCTACTTTTGGCCGCTGTTGAACACACCATTGGATATAATTCTAAGTTTTGTAATCCAGTGAATGCAATTCCTAAAAAAAATTAAACTATGTGTCATACTTTCAAACTTGAAAATTGAATTGTATTCACTGATAATCAAATCATTCTTATAAACATACCTAAAGGATTCCCATTGTGAAAAAATTCAAGAGTACCTTGCCAACCATCATAATGTACACCTACTCTACTATTCTGATGAAAACATGTAGAGTACTCTTTTGAAATACCACCGTGTTGTATATAACCCCTGTAAGAGAATCCCCAAGATTCCTTGTCTCTTCCTAGTAAAGAGCAAAAATTTTCTCCAGTACTTAATAGATCAGCTTTTGCAGTTCCTACTCCTACCATCTGAGAAACAGATTATATATTACTTAAAAATTTCATGTTTAAGGATCAATAGTATTAATGTATGAAACGAAGAGAGATCATCTCACCACATCCGTTCCATAAACTGGAGTTAGCATTTTAACTTCCCACCAATGATGCTTGCCACTGGTCATGGGTTTATTACCTCGAACTGCTGCAGTACCAGTGCTGAAGCCAGGATGGAATTTTACCTCCAAATTTTCATGTGCCAATTGTAATCGAGACGTCTCGTAGGCTGTATCCCATTCCCATTCGTGGCCTGCAGTATCGTCAGTCAAACGATTGTTTAACGTTTATGATTGAGACCAAAAAAGCATAAATTACGGGTAACGAAAAACAATAGAAAAAAAAACGCATTGAAAATGTTAAATTTGTTGTGAGAGTGACAAACAATGGACGTGAAATACTTATTTTAGTCTAGCATGACATACACATAAGTAGAAAGCATGTAAACTCACATGTGTCATCGTAATTTTCATCATCGTTAGCATTTTCGGTTTTTGTATAACCAGTTGTAGGGTCAATAATTAATATCGATTGTATTGATCCTTGGATGGGTTGGATTGTATTATGCCTTGCTTCTTCGGAAACAAGTCCTAATGGTTGCTCCATGATGCTAACTAGACTATGATGTGCAACACAAATATAAACACTCGGAGCTTGTCATTCGTGTGTAAGTAATTTGTCGACTGCTAAACGTTATAGCAATTCGAGTCGATACCCTATAGGATATACTTGATGCGTGGATGGTTGCAGTGCTACAGGTTAAATTCATTAGTGACTGTCTGTGCTCCGTACCAGAACGTTCGAGTAAAATCTCGAAAATAGTTTATCGAGATTTGAGACTCAAGAGTCGAGAGAAATGATGTCAAGTTGCGTAGAAAAATTGATGTGAAAACACCGTTGTTTTGACATATCGTTTCATTTTTTTTAAATGTAATATCATATAAAAAATTTGAATGTGGAAGAACCCATTAATATTTTTATATTAGCGTTCAAACTCAATTATGCACTTAAATATTAGAAATGAACATACGTGTCTGTAAATGTATATGAAACCTATTGATTAGATAGATAGAAAAAAACATAACGTTAAATAACATTTACAAATCCTGATATATTCAAAAAAGTAATGTAAGCTTACTAATTAGCTTTGAGACATGCTGGGATAGAAATATGATGTACATTAGATATATTTTTTAATAATATATTAAAATATTGTTTCATTATTTATACAATTAAAATGATATTTTATAAATTTCTTTAAACTACTAAACAATATATTACACCAATTATTTACAAAACCTATTCAGAGCAATTTACGCCGACTTCTTTTTACGTTTATCAGTAATGGTCTTTTCTCGTTTTTGAGATTGCTTCTCTTCGTCATTGATGCGGCGTTTCTTCCTCAAGAGCCAGATAGCTTTAGCCTTATCTTCGCGACTTTTCATCATAGCTTTGTATACTTTACGGTGTTTGTTAGGTACCAGCTTTTCCCTCAAACGGTACTCTTGACGTTCCAGACGCTTTTTCTCATAAGGGTCCTCTTTTATGACTTCTCCACTTTTGACTTTCATCTCTTTTTTCTGAAATAAAATACAGATTTAGATGCATTGCATAACAATATTTTTTTCTTTTTTTGTTTCAAATCGAATTTTCATGTCCTCTACTCATTTTAAGGAACATAAAAATACAAATTCACGACTCTACATACCTTTTTCAATCTTTCTTTCTCTTTGGGATCTGCTTCATCTTCATCTTCTTGTTCTTTTTCTATTTCTTGTTTCTCTACAGTTTTTTCTACTTCTTCCATTGTATCATTATCATCAACATCATCATCATCGTCATCTTCATCATCATCATCATCATCATCTTCATTTTCATCGTCATCATCATTTCCATTTTCTGTTTCTTTTTCATCTTTTTTTTCCTCAGTCAACAAATCTATATAATTTTCAAAAATAGTGAAAAAAAAATATGCATAAGTAATACCTGCAATATATTATCAATTATAATATGAACTTATTAGAAATATACATACCCATTAACTTTTCTTCCGGAGGCATATATTGTTCACCTTGACGTTCTTCTTTGAATGGAGAAAGATGAGGAGGTAATACAGCACCCAGCAGATATTTGTGAGTGGGTAATAATTCTCTGGCATTTATAGAATCAAACACCCATTGAGGTTGAACATAATACCTTGAAATATATTTTTTGTCTACACTGGGTCTATCTACAATTTGATGAGTAATGGATTCATCATCTTCTCCAAAAGTTGCTCCAACAAATGATAGTTTGTCCCAAGAAACTTCGGCCCCAAAGCAACGCAAAACAAAAACAAGAGGTTCTCTGGGAACCTCTCTGTTTAAAAATACTTTCAATCCTTTGAAAAGGTTTTTCAATTTTGACACCTCTTCAATTTTTTCTCTCATGATCTCATCAGATCCAAATGAATCTAATTCAAGCTCTTCTTCTTCTACTTCATTTTGTAGAGATTTTATAAGGGGAACATTAAGAGCACTGACACGTTCAGAAACAAACGCTTGTTCATCCACCAGGGATTTTTCAGTAATACCTAGATAAATAAAAGCAAATAAGAGGTTCTGCAGACATTTTCTATTTCATATAATAATTTCAAGTTACTCACTTGCGTTGTTGAATTTTGGTGGATACACCAAGTTTAAAGAGTGAAAAAGTCGGAAATTTACAAATCCCAACATTATAATATAGAATTCCACAAAAGTTGACATCAATTTAAAATCAACTTCATTTTTTTTCTGAGGTTCAAATCCAAAGTGATGTGGTACAATCCAAGTAATTGTTTGCCCTTTAATTTCTGCTTGGAAATAGTAACCTTTAATTGATACAAAAACCTTTCGCAATGCTTTAGATGCTATGACAGCATGCATGAATTCTACAGTTAATCGGCGACACAAAACACTCTGATCCCTAGGAATATGCTCCATTGATGGAAAAGTACTAAATAAGAAGCATAGGGACAAACAATCATCCAAATCTTTCAAAGCATCTATGAAAGTTGGATAACGTTCTTTTACTATATGATCAAGTTTGATTGTTGGATGATTTTTCAACATTCTCTTCATAGTCTTAAAATCTCTCATGGATTTTGCCTTTGTCACTTTTCTTGCAAAGACCTAAAATTTATTCATCATGAGTTAAATAAGTAATTAACAATTTATCGTTGAACACAAGATTGAAATTAATGGTTTACCTTGTAATCCCGCAACTTCCATATTATGGGTTCGTGCAATAAAAATTGTATATCTTTTTTGGCATACAAAAGTTTAATACGTGTGTCTCCTTTTTGAGCTCTCTTTCTGTTGCGAGGTTCCCTAGGGTAAATTCCTTTTAAAATGCATAGTCTCTTAAATTCATTAAGAGAAAGCTGTAGCTTTTTTAAAGCTTGCTTCCTAGTCATAAACTGTGTTGCCTCTCCTGCTTCATACTAAAAAAATATTCATATATTAAAATAAAATATAAATAAAAGGTAGAATTGCGGGTTGAACACAAAATATTGCATGCGCCATTATAAAAAGTATCAAACAAATACGAGTATAAATTACCTTTTTTTTGCCAATGACAACCATCTTGAAGAAAACGTTGATTAAACTGTTGAATAAACAAAACCAACGTCAATATTTTCTTCGGTTATCGCCGGTAACTAAGTAAATGTTCACCTACGATAAAGGTTAATTGACTATATGCACGAGGTTGCTGAATGCTGCCAGTGCTAGCCTCTGTCTCTGTTTTATATTTTTTATTGACAGAGTTGAAGAGTTCTTCACTATACCAGAGTCCAGAACACAAAAGCGTATGGCAGCAGTCACAAATTTGGTCTTCGTGACAGCAAAAAGATAATTTTAAAGTAGTTGAAATGTGCTGTTTAAAAACCAATCTGATTTATTAATTTTTGTATTTTGCCTTTTACCTAACATTATACACTTCTCGAATCTCTATATCATTCTGGTAAGAATAAATATTTATTATAAAAAAGCCGTAAATTTAAAAACAAACTAGTAACGTAAAGTGACGAGCACAAAAGGAGTCGCATCGGCGTGAGTCGTAGACGTGTGGGGGGAAAAACTCACATCAAGGCAGACGCTGTAGAAGCCGTTTCAGTGTGACAGATCGCCCGGTGAATCGGTGATCCAAAACATAAAAGCTTAACAGCAGCAGAAAAAGCACGCAGACACCGTTGAAGCACGTTGCTAGTTTCGATTCGGCGTTGTCATTTTTTGTTGTTAATTAAATGCCATTTACTTTGGGGAATCCGTAACATATAATAACAACACCTATAAGGTTACATTTTATTTGTACCTCAATGAGCGTGTATAACAGATTGTTTATTGAATAATATTGAATAACTAAATCAAATTACTGCAGAAAGATATAACACTAGTGTTTTTGAGTGATACAAAATGGCATCTGCCCCAGTCAAGAGGTATAGAAGAGAAGTAGAAGAAAAAGAAGGGTCAGAATCGGACGATGAATATGTCCCTTATGTACCAGTAAAAAAAAGAAAAGAACTGCAGCTTATGAAATTAGGAAGGCTTAGCCAACTGAAAGAAGAATCGCACGGAACTGGGAAGAGCAGTAGTGAAAACGAAAAAGACGACGAAGATGAAAATTTATGGGGGAGAAAGTCCAATATATCGTTATTAGATCAACATACAGAACTCAAAAAAATGGCCGAAGGTAGGTCAATAAAAATTAATTTTTACTTTTTTTTTTGCTGTCTCGGCTGAAAAATTATTTTAAAGCCTGCGAATAAGACATGGTAATTTTCTGCTTAAGTGGTTTATGAAAAAAAATTGCATTTCAAAGAGTCAAACAAAGTAGGATATAGTTCATTTTTTTAAAATTGAAATTTAAAATTTTCAGCCAAAAAAGAAAGTGCTATGGAAAAAAGATTGAAAGAAGAAGAAAAAATTTTGGAGAGTGTAGCAGAAAACAAAGCTTTGATGGGAGTTGCTGAATTAGCTAAGGGAATAGAATATACAGATCCAATAAAAACAAGTTGGAAACCACCTAGATGCATTTTGAATCTTTCAGAAGAAAGACATGATAGAATTCGAAAAAAATTTGGTATCGCTGTTGAAGGTGAAGATGTTCCAGTGCCACTACGAACCTTTAAGGAAATGAAATTCCACAAAGGAATTTTAATGGGTTTAAAGGAAAAGGCTATAAAATTGCCCACACCAATCCAGATTCAAGGAATCCCGGCTGTGTAAGTAATTCTATAATTCAATTAAGATTGTATAACTGGTTTGATTTTATTTCTCCTTTGTATATTACTGATAATTTTAGGCTTTCAGGCAGAGATATCATAGGCATTGCTTTCACTGGCAGTGGTAAAACTCTTGTTTTTGTTTTACCTATTATTCAGTTTTCTCTTGAGCAAGAAATTGGTTTTCCTTTTATTAGAGGCGAGGGACCATATGGTTTAATTATTTGTCCATCAAGAGAATTGGCAAAACAAACTCATGATACTATCAAACACTATACAAAACATTTAAGGAAAGTTGGTTGCCCAGAAATAAGATCATGTCTAGCAATTGGTGGAGTACCAGTATCAGAATCTTTGGAAACAATTAAGAGAGGTGTACACATTATGGTGGCTACAACGGGTCGCCTTATGGATATGCTAGAGAAAAAACAGGTGACATTGGATGTTTGTAGATACTTGTGCATGGATGAAGCTGATAGAATGATCGATATGGGTTTTGAAGAAGATGTCCGTACAATATTTTCCTTTTTTAAGGGCCAGAGGCAAACCTTACTATTTTCAGCCACCATGCCAAAGAAAATACAAAATTTTGCCAGATCTGCCCTTGTAAAGCCAGTGACCATAAATGTTGGTCGAGCTGGAGCAGCATCTATGAATGTTATTCAAGAAGTTGAATATGTTAAGGAAGAAGCAAAAATCGTGTATTTGTTGGAGTGTTTAAAGAAAACACCACCACAAGTTCTTATATTTGCTGAAAAGAAACGAGACGTTGATGCTATTCATGAATATCTCTTGCTCAAAGGAGTTGAAGCTGTTGCTATTCACGGTGGAAAAGGTAACTTTTAAAAATAATTTTATAGTTAAAAATAGATTTCATTTTTGGAATATAACTAAATAATTTATTAAAATAATTTACAGATCAAGAGGAAAGATCTAGATCAGTAGAAGCCTTTCGAGCTCGAAAAAAAGATGTTTTGGTAGCTACTGATGTAGCTTCAAAAGGTCTCGATTTTGCCAATATACAACATGTTATCAATTACGACATGCCAGACGATGTTGAAAATTATGGTATACATCATATTTATATTTTATCCTAACATACTCAAAGTTTTCTTTTAAACTATAATACAATTTTCTTATAATTAGTTACAAAGTTCTTATAATTTTTTTTCTAGTTCATAGAATCGGCAGAACAGGACGTTCGAGTCAAACTGGAATTGCTACAACATTTATCAACAAGTCTAACGATGAATCAATTCTTCTTGACTTAAAGCATTTGTTGCGCGAGGCAAAACAAAAAATTCCTCCTTTCTTACTGGAAATTTATTCGGAAAACGAGAAATATCTCAATGTTGGAGACGAACAAGGTTGCAGTTACTGCGGTGGTCTTGGTCACAGAATCACAGAATGTCCGAAATTGGAAGCAATTCAAAGCAAACAAGCTTCAAACATCGGGCGAAGAGATTATTTGGCTAATAATGCAGCAGACTATTAAGAAATTTTTTGTTTCAGAAAGTTCTAAAATAGCCAGCATGTACAAATGTATATATTAAAATAAAGAAATAGTTTTTAACTAACTATAAATATTTTTTTACTATTATTCATTGATAGCAATAAAATTAGGTATCAAAATATTTAAGATGTTTTATTCAAAATTATTTTATAGTTGAAAAGATATTTGATTCAAATTATTTTTAAATCTTATCACCAAAATCTTGTTAGATAAAATTTCTCACAAATCCATAGAAAACAACCACCGTCAAGATACAAAAAAATTTATTTCGTGATAAACACATGTATGCTTGCTAGGTGTAACATATGATTAAATTTACCCATTGACAAATAAGAACTGAGTATAGTTTCTGAACTCGTTTATATTTTAAAGACCGCGCTCCTGATTGAGTTTAAGAAAACATGCTGAGAAGATTATTACAGAAAATAATGCAATCTGAAAAGTAAAAACAGCTGCCAATTCCTTGGCCTAAAAACTATACGTCTTATTTTTAAAAGTTGAAAGCAGACTTAAAATTAAAAAAATTTTTGTAGAATTTACTGTTTTCTGCAGCATTTGTTATAATTCTGAAATGTTGATTTTGGACTGTGATGCAGCTAATTCTGACAGCCTTTTTCGTATACATTGCGTGTTGAATTATTTCTTATTTTCTTTTTCTGAAGTTATACATTTTCGCAAAATGAACCACCCTGAGGTCTTACCCACAACCGCAGACATAACATAGTCGATGTATGCTATGTCAATGTATACAGTAAAAGCGTCTGAAATTCAATTTCCAAACAAGTTTTCTAAAATTTCTACTGTAAATTTCTCTAAAAAGATCTATGTACACTTTGATTTTAATGATTTTGAGGTTCCTATAGAGCCATTTAGAAATATTCAGTAGAAGTTTCAGAAAAATTGTTTGAAAATATGAATTTTCGGCTGGGATACAAATCGTCAAGCCTACCCACTCAGTCGGTATTCAGTATCGGAATATTTTGTCCGCATTTTTCTCCAAGAATACCCCAATGAAAATATTTTATAAGTTCTCGCAGGCGAGATTTTAAAAAGATCTTGTATAAGATCTTATGCAAGAACTGACAAGGTCAGTTATAATGAGTTCGTTCTTGCACAAAATTTAATACAAGATCATTTTCAAATCTTGCCTAAAAACCTACAAAATATTTTCATTGAGGAAAAAAAGTTAAGCACGGTTAGTACTTGGATGGGTGACCGCCTGGGAACCCCGCGTGACGTAGATACTCCTTCTTTTGACCTTTTTTTTAATTTTTTTTCTATTTTTTTACATCGAAACAAACCCTCCCGATATTTCACGATATCCAGCTTTTGACAGCTTTTTCTCGTCGACTACGAGACGCGTACGACTACGCGTAACTGAAATCGATCTATACTAAAGAAATAGAAGATTATACTAGAAATATCCGTAGGAAGGCTCCTTATCTCTTACCGCAAAGTCTCGCCCCCGCCTTTTCTTGGCCTTATGGCTAACATGCGAGTTCGTGCTCATTAGACAGATAACCTGCTCATTGTTGCCTGTGTGCCGATCCTGTAATAAATTTGCTTCTTTTTTTTCATATGCTTTGATATCGGGATGAATTATGTCTATGACTAATGTCAGTACTTGGGTTACTTGGGTTACCCCGCCTCTTCTTGGCCTTATGGCTAACATGCGAGTTCGTGCTTTTTAGACAGACGAGTGCCAATAGTGTAAAGCTGAATATTGTTTTACCTGCTCATTGTTGCCTGTGTGCCGATCCTGTATTAAATTTGCTTCCTTTTTTTCATATGCTTTGATATCGGGATAAATTATGTCTATGACTAATGTCAGTACTTGGGTTACTTGGGTTACCCCGCCTCTTCTTGGCCTTATGGCTAACATGCGAGTTCGTGCTTTTTAGACAGACGAGTGCCAATAGTGTAAAGCTGAATATTGTTTTACCTGCTCATTGTTGCCTGTAACATGCGAGTGTAGTGGATTCGGGTGAATGAGACGCGAGAAAAATTTCTTTTTCAAATAAACAACTTTTGACTGGCATGCCATTTCGCGATTAGCACATAATGTTTTTTCAATCGTATTCATTTTAAAAAATACAGTTAACTAGATATTTTCAATGGTCGATATTATCATCGAACACAGAAGTTCTCCTTGATCAGAATTTCCCGTTGATGCTTTACATTGACAAAAATATGTTTGAACTATTACTCGTGAGCTTTTAGCAAATCGGATCTTATCGATCGTATTACTAGCCCAAAGATTCTTACCAAAGGATTATTGTCCGAAAAGAGCTTCCAATGCGTACAAAGCCTAAGTGAGACGCGCTATTACGTGCCATGCACTAACCGCACGCCTGGCCATTTACCATCATGAATTTTTCACGCCGCGTCACATGCACCGCGAGAGACTCCGTACTTATAGCTCGTACTGCGCCTGAGAGTACTTAGGTCGAGACCGCAACATAATATCCAGATTATCGGCATTTCATCCGCGGCTCTTCGTATAATGGTCGACCGGTATATAGGTACTAGGGCTGTGCGAGTACTTGATTTTTTGAGTACTCGAGTTTTTTCGGGTACTCGCGTTTTTGTCGAGTACTCGAGTTTTTTCGGGTACTCGAGTTTTTTCGAATACTCGCAATATATTCAAGTTTTAAGTGAATAAATGATGAATTAACAGTCTCTAGACCTCTCCTTTTGTGTGTACGTGATTGTAAGTGTGATGAAGTGCGTTACAATTAAATTATGTTCTTCTTCCAATCCAATCCGCTGCGAATATCAAACTTATAAGCATGTACTCACAAAGAGAGGTGGTCTAGAGACTGTTGATTCACCATTTATTTACTTAAAATTTAAATACATTGCGAGTACTCGAAAAAAATCGATTATTCGAAAAAATTCGAGTACCCGAAAAAACTCGAGTACTCGAGAAAAAATCGAGTATTAGAAAAAACTCGAGTACTCGAATTTTCCCGACTCGACTCGAACTCGACTCGAACTCGGCGAGTCGAGTTCGAGTCGAGTAAAACTCGAAAAATCGGATACTCGCACAGCCCTAATAGGTACTACTTCGCCGTACATTATAATCTCTTGGTGTGGGATTGTAAGCCGCGGCGAACGATGTAAAATTTACTCGTTACCCGCATTATGTACTCGCGCGGGCCAGGGGGTAAAATGGCTAAATAGAGCGAGGGATGGTATAGTGCTCCAGACAAGTCGATTTTATTTTCAATGCGCTGCGCTTATATTCAAATATATTGAGCGCGAGAGAACCGAAAGCTCCCAGGCGCAGTTATGTCATCGGGAGTGTGTATTTTTTTCAATTCAAATTTTCCATGCGAATCACGGAATTTGTCGATATTATTTGTATAGAACGATGTGCGCACGACTTGGGATAAACGCGCGTACCATGGCCTAGCACAGGTATTGATAAAGCGAATAATGATTAACGAGTTGTATGGAATTCGACCTGTTTCACTGGAAAATTTACTTCGACAGTTCATTATTCATAATGAACTTGCATGGGATTATGCATCCGGTAATCTATATTGTTGAAAATTAGTTATCATCATATATTGCAAATACTAGCTAATTAATACTTATATAATCGAGTTTAATCTTGAAATTCTCAAAAATGTAGTCACCGCAATTATGAAAAAATCGCAAAATATGACAGAATCATAGATTCGAAAAGCTTTTAACTTAATTTCATTTTCATATGGGAAAGCCACTGTATTTTGTGACAAAAAACTTTTGCTGCTCATTTAAACAAGACTGCTGTGCTCGAACACCACTAAAATAACACTTGCAAGAAATTCTTAGGTCGAAGTAACTGTATTTATAACGACTATGTAGTACGAATACGTAAATTGTTAATTCAATTAAACGCGTCTTACGCAATACATTGAAATAAAATTTATATAGCTATAGCTCCATTATATGTGACTTGATATAAAGATAAAAATAATGTTTACAGCGCGTTATGTTTTGCAATTGCTGGCTCTTTAAAAAATATTTACTTTTTTTCATCTTTTGTGTTTGAATAATATCATCATTTCGATAATTGATGTATTGAAAAAGCAAACAAAAACTTGATTTATACTACAAAAACAGCTTTTTCATACCAGCGGCCCGAAAGTGACTACTTCTCTGCCGCTGCGCAAAGCGGGAAGAGCGATTTTCGGACCACTGTGTATGAAAAATAGTATACAGGCCTATGCCGCGAAAAAAGAAAGCCCCAGAGCACTAATTACATGTACTCTGGGACTTTTCTGTTTTTCGCGGCCTAGGGTAGTAATATACTATTGCAACAACAAAGTACAGTTTTATAATTGCAAACACTATCTTTGAATTGTATACCAAGTTGTTTTTTTTTTATGGGTAATAAATATTTTCATACACAGATGTTACCATTTACTGGTAGAAAATGCAGAACAATATTCTGTACAGTGAGTTACCGACTGGATGGTAAAAGACATATATTTTTAAATCGATAGAAACTATAAAACTAGATAATAGAATTCACAGTGAATTTATAAGTTTATTACAAAAAAATTAACAATATCAACAATCCAACATTTTCGAACATTGACTGTTTCGTTTAACATGATAATATAACTTTAACACAGCCGCAGGAGTTATTCCTGCAATATTGTACGCAGCAGCAATCTAAAAGTTTAAAGTAAATGAAATTAACGAATTGTCAATTTAAAAAATGTACGCAAAGAGCTAATTTTGACATAAAATTTACCGTTTCTGGTTGAGCTTCTGCAAGTTTTTCCTTATCTTCTATACTAACGTTCAATGAATTCCTGCAAAATACATGACTATTAAATTTTCTTTAAAAAAAACAAATTATAATTTGAATGATACACTTACAATGTATCATAAATTTCTTTCGGTATTGACATTTTTTCGTTTTTTCTTATCTCGTCTACTTCTCGTTGTTGCTCAGCTACAGCATGAATGTAATTGGCTTCTATCTGAAATTAAATTTTAAATAGTCATTCGTTGTTCACTACAGTGGGGAAGTTTTGATATTTTAATAATAAATACCTCAAGTCTGTGCCCTAATTTTCGATTTTTTACATGATGTAAAAGTTCTTGAATATGTAGCGCTACTTCGTCGAACTGAACAAATTGTTGAGATAATAAATCAAGAGCTGATTTTGGTAAATTTTGTTTTATATTTCGCAAGTGCGGTAATTGAGCTTGCCAATCTTTATAAGGTTTTGATGTACTTCTCAATATTTGCAAACATTCCTGAATTTGTTTCAGTAGATTTGTAGTTTTCTCAAATCTCTTTTCCGAAACGCAGCCTACGTTATATCCTTTATGCGTAAGTCTTAAATCAGCATTATCCGGCCGCAAGCTAACTCGAAATTCCGCTCGGCTGGTGAACATTCTGTAAGGCTCCGTCGTCCCGCCTGTCGTCAAATCATCTATCAGCACACCGATGTATCCTTCTGTTCTACTTATAATTAAAGGGTTTTTTTTCAAAACCTTAGCAGCAGCATTTACGCCGGCAACGATGCCCTGCGCAGCTGCTTCTTCATATCCAGTAGTCCCATTTATTTGACCGGCAAGAAATAAACCAGGAATTTTCTTAGTTTCTAATGACTTTTTTAGTTCTCTGGGATCTATGTAGTCATATTCGACTCCATAACCAGGTTTCACTGAAAAAACATTTTTAAAAATTACAATTTTTTGATCAATATGAAGATCTCTTAATGAAATTTTAAAATTACCCATTTTTGCATTTTCTAAACCAGGTATGAACTTTATCATTTCTTCTTGTTTATTGGCTGGAAGCGTACACGATAAGCCAGCAGGGTAGATTAGAGGAGAATCAAGACCCTCAGGTTCTAACCAAATTTGATGATGCAAATTTGAAAATCTCAAAACTTTACTTTCTATGCTAGGACAATATCTAGGACCTTTAATTTCTTCTATCACGTGCCTATTAAGATGGAGATTTTCTTTAACAATAGAATTAATTTTTTCATTTGTATGTGTTAAATAGCAAGGCAATTGTTCATGTGTAGGTAGCCAGACAGAATCACTCATGAATGAAAATGGTTCAGGAATTTCATCTGGAGTTTGTTTTGTACATTTTGAAAAATCAATAGTAGACTTTTCTAATCGGGGTGGTGTTCCTATTTTTAAAAAATTGATATTAAACATTATCTTATTCAACAATCATAAGCTGAAAAAATTGTATTATACCTGTTTTCAATCTACCCATACTGAATCCTAAACGTTCAAGAGTATTGGCTAGTCCGATACTTGGTTCATCACCCATTCTACCAGCTGGTCTTGTTTCTAATCCAATATTAATTTGTCCTTTTAAAAATGTTCCAGTTGTTATTACAACTGAATCAGAGAATATTTGCGTTCCATCTTCTGTAATAAAATAATGATGAAAATTATATGTACACACTCGACTTTTTAAGATTTGGTATAATTAATTTTTTACTTAAAACAACTCCACAGCATTCTAGCTTATCATTATGTACTATGATATCTTCAACTGAAGATTCTATTATCTGCAGGCCAGGCGTATTAAATATTTCAGCCTGCAAATGTTTTTTGTACAAACTTCTGTCTATTTGGGCTCTTAAGCCCCAAACTGCTGGGCCTTTTCTCTTGTTTAAAACTTTATAATGAATTCCTGATATATCACAAATTCTGCAACAAATACCATCTAAAGCATCAACTTCTCGCATGAGATTTCCTTTTCCAATACCACCAAATGAAGGGTTGCATGACATTTCCCCTATAGTATTTATTTAATGAAAATTATTTTATATATATATTATGTAAATCTTAAACATCATGAGAAACTTACCAATTGTACTTTTTTTATGTGTAATTAATAGTGTTTTTACACCCATTCTAGCAGCTGCAGCACATGCTTCAGTCCCAGCATGCCCACCTCCAATGACAATAACATCAAATATTTCTTGTTGATTACTGATTTTAGATGAAAATTTTCTGTTCCACGATTTCACAAACACTTTCACTTGCTTTTGTAGTTGAAAAACTACAGCTTTAGATTTTGTAATGGACATATTGAAAGTCTGGAATCACAAAACAACAAAATCAATTAATTTTGAATGTATACATTTGCATTTTTCAAATTTTTGTAAAGCAAAGTATATTTCAAAATCATTTCCAGTTTAGGCAAAACAAATTCTTGACACAATTCTTCTTTGTTCATATATTGTGTATGTTGAAACTTTAAATTTTTCAAAAAAGATATAACAAAATTAAAACAATTAAAAGTGTCTTCATTATATCTATTTGGACTCCATTGACAATCACTACACATTTTTTTTAAAAGTTCATCCCAATGAGACTCCCAAGATTCAGGAATCATGTGAATCGAAACACAATTTTTCCATCGAATGATATCATTAACAATTAGACCACACATATCGTATTCAACAACTAAACCTTGAGAATTAGTAATTCCAATATGTAAATCATTATTTATTTGGAAATCATTAAGAAAATCACCTTTTGATGGTCTTATGACAAGGGAACAAGGACAATCTTTAGCATTGACTAAAGGATTTGGAATAATAAATGGTGGTATTAAAAAATTATCAATTGTTTCTTGACAAAGTGGACATGCAGTGGGAACTATTTTGCAAAATATAGAAGTGGAGCGGCAATGCTTGAAGCATAGAATTTGACTTTCAGGACACATTTGAATTATTGTTTGCAGGTTAGAAGACTCAAACAAGTGTTTTCACTCCCTCACATGAAATAAAAATTGCTAAATAAAATCAAAATGAACTTTAAGAGCTTGTAGGTAAATTTGTAGTAGGAAAATTGATTAAAATCAACAATTTTTAAAAATCAGAAGACGGAGCATTGATGAATATTATGAAATTATGATGAAAAACACGCTTATAAATAAACTACTAACCAATTACAAGAATATAAAACTTTGTGGTATATTTTTGTTCATGAAAATATTAACTGCATGAGTATTTGATAAATTAAAATGAAGACATTAAAACTAGAACGAAAATGAAAGAACTAATGTTTGCATGCATTTCAGTATTCATGTACTTCTGTAGCAGAAGACATTAGCAGTTTGTAATTGTATTCCACAGATTCCAGTCACTATTACTGTGCACTTCAAAATACTTACTTGCGCGACTTTCGAACGTCAAAAACCCCAAAAGTACTATATAATATTAAGTTTCAAATATTTTAGAAAGAAATAACAAAATCATTATTGCAAAGGTCTCCCATTCTTAAAATTAAAACATCACATGTTTTAATTTTATAAAAAATGATTGATCATCCACAATAGTTGTTGTCGCAAACAACATTGCCTTTCGTGACACATTGCAACGCGTTATATATCTTCGCACGGCAAAACCATAAAAAGCAAAGGTCATTTACCTTTGTTGGATAAGAAAACGAGCGACGATAAGTTACATCAGTCGAACTATTTGTCACAGATGTCTCGCCAACCTTGGTCGCGACTTGCGAGAGCTGTCAGTCTAGGTGACACAAGCCCAAGTGCATCGGCGGAGAAACGCACTGGTGCACAGGGCACAGCTGATGATCGGCGCGGCGCGAAAGGAGTAGCGGCGCGCACACACATGCTATATAGCGCGCGAAGCCGGAGTGGGGCTGAAAGTTGGCAGGCGAGAGAGCGAGAGTAGCGAGAGCATTTCACGAGCAGCAGCCACCGCGTTATAGATACCGACTCGCCTACGCGTTTAGTCGCGACTTTACCCTACACGGCGACGCTCCGCCGCCGCCGACCGTGTGTTCGCCTTACGCGTGCTTTGTATGTATATTTTGACGAGTGCGCGGCTTTTTTCTGCACCTGTGCGCGCTCTCTGAGATTATTTGTTTACGTTTTCCGTTCGTTCATTGACATATCTCAATTCGAGTGTAAATAAGCCAGCCTTTAGCCGCCTGTGCGAGTGTAATTTTTACAAGTATAAGAGAGATAATTTAGTATAAGATAGCGTTGAACGCCGGTACATAAGTACATCTACAACCGATACCAAGAGAGAGAGAGAGAGAGAGAGAGAGAGAGAGAGAGAGAGAAGAAGCGGAGGCTCGTCCAGTCGCAGGTGCAGCTCTCGTCACGCATAATACATATGTCAAGGAAATGTTGGAAATCGTCGCAACTGCCTCTGTGTGATATCTGCTCGTCTGCCGGGTGTTTACTTTGTAACGCGGATCCTCGCCAGGCAACTCGTAGCGCGAGACAGAGGTGAGTGTCGGTAATCGCAACTTTTCTAGGTTATAAGACGCGTGTGCTGCGGCGAGTAGTATAAGAGGACTTTATCGGCTGTGCAGAGTGCACTGGCGTGTATATAGGACGTGCGTATGCGCGCATGATCCTCCAACGAGGATATCGATCACGCTCGTAGCACGTTGTTTTTGCCCCCCTTGTCTGTTGCAGCCAGCAGCAGCGGTGCTCTCGCGACCGCCTTGCCCCTTTCTCCCTCCCTACCTCCGCCCCTCGGCCGCCCGTCACTCGCTCGAGGACGAATTTGCTGTACCCATCGACGCCGCATTCCGCAGCCTGTGCGCGAGAGAAAAATAGCCACGTGCGTTTAAAGGCCCTACTAGACAGCTATAACACTTGGTATAACGCGATACAGGGGGGCAATAATAGGTCCGTCTGTTGCTGTACCGCCGCTGTCTGTTTGATTTCTGCTCGGGAGCCAGCCGAGGTTAAGGTTATAAGACTTGAAACAGACAAACTTTCTACGGCTCTTGCGCACAGTGAACTGGGCTCTCGACGCATTTTTGTTTCTAATTTTCGGAACACGACGACCACCTAAAAGCGCGAGCGCATCAAAGCTCTGGTAACAGATAGAAAGCCGTCCTATACACGTACTTTCTCGCTTTAAATAGCGTGTCTCGCTCACAAAAGCGTGAGAAATGGTCGTGCGCGACACACATACATAACGTATATGTATATAAATGCAAGTTTACACGATCATGAATGTGCATCGTATATAGCATAAGAGAGCGAGAGAAGGAGATGCTCAAAGTACCGTGTCAGCGCAAGACGAGAGCGCGCGAGAGGCAGATGAAGCGTATCTTGATAGCTGTGCTTATAAATAATTTTTTTTTCCTTCTCGGAGCTCCTCGATAGCTCCGATTCACTGGAAAAGTCAAGTCGAGCGTTAAAAGATCGGCCGGTGTGTCTGGTCGTCGTCGTTGTCTCCCTCTCGCGATCATGCATGTGCTGTTTATATAAAACGCGTACAAGCATCGCTTCGGAAGGTGACTGACACCTGATGCGTCAATGACCATCGAACTTGCAATAACAGCACGAGTATTATAGCAGTAGTAGCAGCCAACAGAAACCCATCTGGTCACGCTTGCACTTATCTGGTAATACACGTATGGTCACTGGCATTTCTTCGTATTGCTCGTGACATCGATACGTGCGTATGTCTGCTGCGTATACATAAAGTGTCGGCAAAGCACCGAGCGTACAATGTGCCGTGTCGATACAGCTGACTCGGCGCTTTTCTATATATTGCTTGGAAAAATCTAAAAAATAAAAAAACCCGCGACGTTTTGATCTTCTGAGAACGTTCTTGAAAGGTGCTTCAACGTGTTTACAAAATACTCCCGACCTTTTCATCGCACTGTAAAATTGGAAGCATCCGATCAAGTGGTAATGAAAGCACATGTTTGATCCTAAATTATATATGGCTTTTAATTGAAAAAAAAGTTTATTATAAAAAACTATCTCGTAGTATTCGCTCGTATGATATTTCCCGTTTCGTGAAACTCTCGAGCTAGTAGAGTCTCTTTGCAAGTAGCTCCTCTGTTTAATTTGACTTCCATATCGCGCGCGAGATAAGATATGCTACAAGAATTCATTTGAGAGAAAAAATCATCTCGCATTTCATTCGTATCAACGTCGTATTTTTTGCTGTCTCGTTTATGTCTTTATTTGAAAGAAATATTCATCTTTGCGCAGCGAAAACGCTAGAAGGTAAAAAGTACGATTTTAGTTTGAAAACGTTTGATGTTTATATATCAAATCCGTAGGTATTAAATTTCAATAAATGCAATACGACTTGGACGGTCCTCGATTGCATCGATTAAAATCCGTCTCTGTAAAATCGACGTAAAATTTCCATGCCTCAACAGCTCTGTGCACGATGTGTAAGTGCAATTTTTCATCATCGAAAAGCAAGGTACACGTCACCCAGGTATAATAATTTATTAGTCGAATTCGTAATTTTCCTACCGTATTCGCTCTCGTGCACTCGCATTATATTTACCATAGCTCCCCCATTTTTTTTTCTAACAATAACAAAAATATAAATAACAAACAAGCCAACGGGTATGTATGTTGTCTCTCTGCGCGCACGTACAAATACACAAGAGTCGCCGTATCGCTCGACTTTTCGTCTTAACTAAAATCAATATTATGGCAAGTCACATAAACACAGATCGGTTGGCAAGGTATACGTAATAAGCAAAGCACGTATGTAACTAAACGATATTGTCGTCGCGCGCAAGCGGCATCGTTAGCATGTGCCGTATAATAATCGCGGGAGAAAGTTGTTTAGAACGCGATTCTAATTAAGTGCCTGTACCTATATGTAGCAGATACGTTTACGGCTGTCTACGTGTTAGGGCTACGCGTATAATGTAAGATAATCCCGTACTTGGCTTTGGCGCGGGCACTGGCATGCATTACAACGCATCGCGGCGCGTTCGAGTTCCGAGCCGAGTAATCCCGAAAGCTTATACGCCCGGCCCGTATGGCACATTCATACTCGTATAAGGTTTTAGCAGGCCGATTTGCTTGCTCTACGTGTGCATGCGCGCGTGTACGTATGGCAAGCTGCAAAAGCTCTAGCCCGCTTCATCGGCATAGCATCCAAACAAAGAGGGAGAGGGAGAGAGAGGGAGAGAGTAAAGAGAGATTAGGCTCGTTGAAAATAAGCTAGTAACTTTTTTCCAAGCAAAGAAATAGTTTATACCTGCGCGTATTGATTTGATGACGTCGACGTATTTACGCAATTTTCACAGTGATGATGTCACACGCTGGCAGCTGAATATTATTCATTAATTATCAACTGCACGCATCAAAGCAGAAACGCAGTGACTCCAAAAAAAAGTAACCAAAAGAGTCGATATGATAATTAACGTAATTAATATACCCCGGCTCGCTTCGCAGCTTTCATCTTCTCTCGTAGCGAATAATAACGAACGAGCGAACGAAGCAAATGAACATAGATAGAATAAGTTTCCAATTAATTGAGATGATGGCTTTTTTCGCTTTTGCCGCTGCTACTGCTGCTGCTGCTGCTGCTTCTGCTGCTGCCCTACCCAACCATGCCTGAAATTTCCACGCTAGCAATAAAGTGTTTTTTACCCGTGAACCGCCACCACCGCCTCGCGCACTTACTTTAGCTAGATATATCTTTCTTAAATTTCTCTCGGGGGTTCTAAAGCATCAATGCTGCACGCTACCGCTAATTGTAAATTTTTTGCTCTATTCCTCGAGGGATTTCATCTCAATTTTTTACCTTATTTTTTTCAGTTCACTTAGTCGAGAGCCGCGTTCATTTTTCGAAAGGAAGAGCGTAAAACACCGACTCAGCCTTCGCTTGCGATTATTTGTTTAAACACTTAGCTACACTTGCGATTCGCTTTTGTGGGTCGAAAACGCATATTCATCTATGCGGTATATAACAAGCGTACGTATATTGTATATATGTACGAAGGAGTAACGAAATTTCTATTGTTCTCCCGGGAATCGTGTATACGAATGTGTGCCATGCGATGGTGTATGGGAGACATTTTTCACCGACCACTGAGCATATACATAGCCGCGCGAATGTTCACGCGCTGCCGGACGATTGATTTTCCAGCCGACTCGGGTTGACACTCGCCCAAGATATAGTGTGCGGTACGTCCTGTAGACATGAAATAATGTTTTTTGCTTTCGTGCTTTAACCCCCGGGCGGCTCACAACATATACGCGCGCGCACACACACACATACACTCTCACTCGCTTTACCTCAATAGCCTGCCTAACTCTCTCTCTTTCTCTTTCTCTCCAACTCAGGTCTCTCGTGAATCGTTCCCTTTCCGCTTCTAAGCCATTCAGTATGTGTAGCACTGAGGGCAGCGACACATACGCACACAGCTTTATAAACATGGAAATGGAAATGCTTCTTCGATGTATCTCTCAGTATGGTACATAAATTATAGCGTAATTGTTGGCTAGGTAAAGGACTGTTCGCTTCGAAATGTTTGTAACTCGAAGCTTGGAAATGTCCCTTTAAAATGTGTGTTAATTAATGTTCCCGCAACCGAATGCCTCGTACATTCAGAAAAATATTTTCTTATTCACACCGATGAAGATGAAAATATACTTGTATGAGAGTTTTTTTCGCGCATTCACATGCTTTCAGGAGAACTTTTATAATTTACAATCTAAATGAGGAATTCTTGCATCACGCGTACAGGCTCATCGTGATAAGTATTATGTGCTCATTTACTCGAATGCGAGTGAAATAAAAGATCGTGGAAACTCTAAAATATTATTTAAATTTACAAGACCAAATGAAATTTCATGACTCATGAGTCATCATTTTTATCCATTTACGGAGGGTTTTTAATTATAAGGCTTTTATTTATTGTTCTACACAATTTGCCCTTCTAATTGTTAACAATTTTTTTATTGATACTTTGCTGAGAAACTAACTAAGCTTTGTGAATCCAACCGAATAGCGTTGAACTTGATAAAGACCAACAAACTCAAAGAAACGAAGTGCAAAGACTAAAAGTTTCGAATTATTCAAGTAAAAGGGCGACGAAACAACATGGACATTAGTAAATTCAAGTAAGTCGTTGTCGCGTACGTACTAGCTGCCTTTTATCTCTCTTTCGGTATGTGTCTAGCTTGTATACATTCTATAGCGAAAAAGAAGAGACACCACCTGAGTAAACTTCTTTAGCAATGCTCAAACGTTGCTCAAGAGTCCAACAATCAACGAGTGCGTACAGTACATAGTCAGCGCTCGTCGACGTACTGCTCGTCCCTCTCTTCCAGCTCGACCCTATTTCTCTCTCTTCGTTTTTTTTCGCTTTTCTGTATATGCTTTGAGCGTAGCAACGTTGACGACAACTACTATTGCTACTATTACTACTTCTACAACTACTATACTACTATTGCTGCTGCTGCTGCTGCTGCCGCCTAGCCCTCGACGTCGTGATTCTTTACATATTCGTCACGAGCAGGCTTGCGATGCTTCTTTTAAAAAATCTTTCTCCTCTTTATTTTTTTCTTGTTGCTTCGTCTCGTTTCAACAATGCACTCGAGTACGAGGTAGCAGCAAGGCGAGGTTTTAGCTGAAGGGGTAAGTCTCCCTCGCCTCTTCTACTTCTCTCTCCTTTTCCCTGGTAGTGGTAAAAGTGAGATATTGTCATTCCGTAAACCGAGTGAAAGTGTTTACGTGGAAAATAATAGTTAAAAAGGAAAAAATAAACGGACGAGCAAAAACGGACTTATCCACGGTGCAATAATAAGTCGTCGCAGGTGTTGGAACGTAATCTGTCATCAGCACATAATTGCATTAAAACAGTGAACTAGATAAAAGAGACAGAGGGTTTTAGAGCGAGCGAGCAAAGAGAAGAGAGAACGGAATCCGGATATTGTCGAACGACGCTTCCATCGGCATGTACGAAAAGCCAATTAAGACTGAATTGGAATTACCCGAGGATTCGTTACGCACCGGTGCTACACTCGTCATCGGTTCTGTATACACAGACACACACCTACGTACACGCTGTTGTGCACACGTATACACGTATAGCTGACACAGAGAATGAGATTTTCGATTGAATTCTAGATGTGTACCTCTCTCTGTCTCTCTCTCTCTCTCCAGCCCACCCCGCGAAACTTGATTACGTCAGGCAGATATTTTTTTTCGCCCGGTTCCCGGCTTCTGGCAAAAAGTGACTTAGATCTATGTATATGCATTATACAGGTATACGAGCATAGCGCAAGTGGAGTGCAGCGCTACCGTCGAGTTTTTTTTCCTTACTCTATATGTATGGGACACCTACTGCAGTCGTTTCGCTCGCTGTCCTGGCGATTATTCCACGTCATTTTCGCGATTTTCGTCCTCTAGCATCCGGAGCGCAGAGCGAAAGAGCGGATTACCTAGATTTCCCCTGGGGTATAGACTTTGACACAGGCTTTTTGCACTTGATTAAATTCGAGGATTAGAATTTTCCGCTCCTCGACGCTTGTATGCCTGGATTTTCTCTAGGTTGCGTCTTGAAGCGCGAGGTGTGTACACGCATATCCTGAAATCTAATCATTTAAAATACGAACTCGGCGAGTAATTATTTTAGAAAAACTTACTTCAAGAAAAGACGCTAATGTACAAAAAAATTAAAAACAGTGTCAATAATTGTATGTCCATAGCAAATTTTTACCGATCGCGCCCGAGCTTACGTTCCAAGTTTTTCGAGCTTTTGAAAATTGAAAATTCTCTGCAAGTATTATACAGCGGTACACAGCCGAACTCTAAAATTACGCTGGTAAAAAGCAACGACGGAGGCAGCAGCCAACGATGGTTTACAAACATGAGTTTACTAAGAAGCTGGGCTGCGGGTTGTCATATACATGCTGCTGCACATAACACTAGCAAGCAAAGTTTCATGTAAGCTCAGACGTAGCAGCTCGCCTGCGTGGCAACTTTTTTCCCTCAATGCATACAGGCGATAAAAATTTCATCCCAAACAGCTTTACATACTTCAAGAAGTTCGCGTGCGTGGAAAAAAGAATTTTTGCATCCCTTTGATCCGATAAACCGGCCGCAGCCACTGCCACTGCTGCTGCTGCTCGGGCGAAGACGATGACGACGACCGAGTTTCACCGTTCTGTGATTAATGGACGACTCTTTGGGCGCCTGTACTCGGAAAGATGGGCACGTATGTAGCCAGAGCGAGAGGGACTTTGACAACCTTGTATACCATGACTTAGCTAGAATAAAAACTGCCTCTTATAAAACTGATAGATACTAAAATACATTCAAACGTGAAAAAATCTTTCAATCTGAGGCCCTGATAAATATTCAATGATTTGAGATTTTCCAATTGTGTTAAATGACTTTTTAACCAGTATATTAAGTAATGTACTCGAGTCGTATGACTAGTTAATTTTCGTGAATATGTGTCGACAATTTTTTTTTAACGTGACAGTCAAAAAGGCAAAGTACATTCAATTCCAGTCATTTTACATAGAAATTCTAATTTCTTAAGGTCTGACGCGTATGGGCAGTGTGCCAAGTGAGAGGGATGCAAATCGTGCACTTTTCACTGGATCAAGGACTCGGGGAAGCACAGAGAGACAGAAAGAGAAACGTGCACGAGCATAGAGAGATGTCTACTACTCCAATGAAATTATAGGACTCGAGCAATAGAAGCCGCAAGTGCATCTTTAGGGTTAGAGAGATGCCTTTGTGCCCCCGTATATAGTCGCTCAGATTCTACTTTTGATTAGTAGCTCTTGCGTACAGACTCGAGCTCTCTCCTAAGGAAAAGCTGTAGAGCAAACTCCGTAAAAGCATTAGATTTAACCTTCCTTGCACGCGTGTAAGGGCAAATGAATTCTTTGGCTCTCCATAGAGAACGAGTAAAAGAAAGAGATCAAAGGTGCTTTTATGTAAAGAATCAACATTTAATTTCTTCACGGGAACAAATTACATGCTACGCGATCATTCGTGTTTTATCGCAAAAAGCTGTTACCTGCTCAACTTTTGGAAATAATATATGATGTGTATGCGTGCAAGTGTGCTGATGGCTGCGCTATATATAAGGGCTAGCCAATGCATTATTCAGACTTTTGGTACCCCGGGTGTTAACGTCATCTATTAATTAATAGCGACGCGTTGGCCGGCTCGCGTCGAGCTTTAACGCGCGTTGACAGAGTTCATGCACCCTCTGTTTGCACACGAGAACAACCCGTGAAAAAGCTGCAGTTGTTTATAAAATATAAATCCGTTCTATATCCGAACTTTGTATCGTAGTGGAATAATTTTCAAATTTTGGAGTTACCTTCTGATGCTTCGATAACATTTCGTCGATGATGAATACGGTTTCATGTTGTGCATATCATTTTAAAGTTTATTTGATAAAACATACAAAATTAATGTTTTAGTACGAGATACACCATTTGAATTACGTTCAATTCAAATGATTAGATATCAGAGAATAAAGATAAGAAAACTTGCAACAGAAAAATACAAATACACGTTTTTAGAAATAGAGAGGTGAAAAAGAAAGATAGTGTATAGAATAGATGCGAAGTAGTATTTCTAACTAATAGACTGTAACTTGCGATTCAATGCATTAGATTCAAATTCGGTATCCGATATCCACTATGGCAATTCGATGCCTGCACTTCTTTGCTCCTAACCATAATTTCTAGAGCACACGAACTTAAGATTTAAACTAGAAAATCAGGAAAGTTAGAGTTGACTGAGATTCTTTATATTTCGTGTCACTTTTATTTAAAATAATTATAAAATGATAATTTATCATTGTAATAAGCAGTTAACATTAAACAGTATACTTTGAAGAGTTTGAAGATTAAATCCATGCCCACTAAAAATAATTTTAAGTAAAAAATGAATTCATGAATGTCAAGGAATCAAAATAAATGATATCAATCTAAATTTAACTTCTTTTCAATTAATATTCTAATATTTTAGATACTTAAATTTTTAATCAGAGTTTTTCCTAATTTATTATTTAGAAAAACAATATCATTCGTTTCTCGGCATAATAGTACTTACATGTATCATCAGAGAATTAATTTAAGTTTATTTATTTACTAATGTAAATATATATGAAACATCAGATGAGGTGTACAACTATAATCATATTGATGTTATTTACACAGAAATTATAAAATTGATCCAACTGTTTACTTCAAATTTCTTCTTTAATTCACTCGTGTCCATATGCTAAGAACGCCAAACAAGAGTTGAGTGATTTTCTTGTGGAAATATTTTGAACAAAATTCTTGTGACAATTGTTAAGTTTTTAAGTAAGTCCGCTAGAAAAATTATTATTACTGAGGATTTCATGAAAACTAATAAAAACTAATTTCAAAATCTTGAATTTATAAAAATCAACAGCACATCTGTTTTGTTTAATTTTCCTTTGAATTAAATTCATTAACGTAGCTCTCAATTTGGCATCAAACAAAATTTAATATTTATTTAAACTTTTTTATTCGGGCATAGAAGAAACAAAAATGGTTTACCAATGTTACAAGATTTTTAAAAATGAAAGCCAATGGAACGAGTCAAAAGAATTAGATTTTCTCCCCGACAACAATAATGATGGATTAATGAATTTTCATAAGGACTTTGACGACAAAGTTAGTTTAAGAGAGAAAGAAAATGAACATTATTTGGATCTTTATTGCGACGTAAATATAAAAGAATGCAATCAATTTTACGACAAATTGGAGAAACAAGTTAATTTAGAAGAACTCAAAGTTATGGATTGCGACGATGAGGAAATGTTTGAAAGCATCAAATTGAATCACACAGAAATACCTACCCATGAAAATCTCAAAGAAAAGAAATCTAAGAAAAATGATGAAACATTGAAAATTGGGATTCAGGTAAAAAAGCGTGAAGCTTTCTCGTGCATCAAGGGTTACAGTTGTAATTTTTGCATCAAAACATTTGCACAAAAAAGCAAATTAATAAAGCATAATAAATCAGCTCATCGAAAAATGAATAAAAAAATTATAAAAATTTGCGTCAGTTCCAAAAACCGTTTCAAAGACAACTTTGAAGGTTAGATGTCTATTGGAAATTGCCAAAGTTTAACAATAATTAAGAGGTTAACACACACTTAAATTAACGTACACTCAAAACGTATATTTTATTTTACTCATCATAAAATATTTCAGTTAATAGCGGTTTCAACGTATTTTAGTAGTACTGTTAATATGATTTTTTGGAATCATAAGATTTAAAACAATACACATTTTACAAGATGTTGGTTATAATTTACTACTGCTAAAATATATCATTTTTTGTTTGTTTTTAGTGATATGTGAATGTAAGAGATTTAATTGCTTACATTTTTTATAAGTAGAAAATTTCCTTTTTCTTGTAATAAAATTTGTTGTAGTTTTATCTGTAATATATGTATCTTTAACTGCATGGAAAAAGCTAAAACTTATCATTCTAAAAATTTAATTTATTGATAAACCTCTAATACATGTAATTTGAGAATATCCTTTTGTATATGCTGTTATTTGTTTTTACCTAATGTTTTTCAATTAATTTTAAAAATTCATGCAAAATGTAAGATAATAATATCTTATGCCAACCCAGTTATAAATAATTCGGTAATATTGTTCTTCTTATAATTTTTTCGACTATTTATTTGACAGTAAAATGATCATTGAATGATCTAAGCGATCTTTTCTCTTAGTTCCTTAACACAATACAAATTAAAATATTCAACAAATCATTCAAGCATCTGCATATGCACGGAAAAGCAGCAGAGAAGCATCAGAGCATTAGCCAAACTCACATCTACAGGAATAATACCTGTGTTTTAGTTCATGTCTATTTATCTACGTTAGATCTCGTGCCACTGACATAACAGCGTACACAAACACGAATGTACGATCAGACACGTGTGCCTGTGGCACCTGATCGTGCAGAGGCATGTATTACGCATTCCAGGCGTACACAATGCAGCGACTCATCTTGTAATGAACGACTCGTGACAGATGCGTCGGCTCAGTCTTTGATGCTCGATACGCATATTATATTATTCGGAAATGCAAGGATATAAGTATACCTTCACAATGCAAATTTTTGAACGTATCGAGTTGAGCATCTAGTCTTAATGCAAACTCTACATCAATATTATTTGAATTTTAATTCAATAAATACTGTTACTTTTTATTATATTTTTTATTATATGTTTACGACGTTATTATAATTTTCCTCGTCTTTTATGTGCGATTTATTGAAAATGTTCATTGCATCTATCAAACTAAACATAAGCACATTTGTTTGATTTAGTTTAAATACTGAATTAATTTCAATTAAAAATTTGTTTCAATTATCTCGTATTTGTTTCCTTCATTCATATAACAATTTATCACCTATCGCAAATGTACGACATTATAATACATGATACATGATAATTGGATTTGAGACGAAAGTTTACAATAGACAATTTACAGAACGTCCTGCGCTGAATTCAGATTCCCATCATCTTCTAACAAATATCTGACTATTTTAAATAGCCATTTGTGGATTTATGCAATCGCCGATTCAGTATTCTAGAGTAAACGTTCCAATAATTTGGCCCTGTATTCTGTATAGTATATTGTTCTGTGCAGTTTGGATCTCTATTCCCAATAAAATTGTACGACGTCTGGAAGATTTTCTATATGAGTACGTAGCTTTCCGAGTACCGCGTTTAGTAATATTTCTTGCCAAAAAAAGGAGGTAAAAATTTTTTTCCTTCAGTTTCCCTCGTATATTTCAAAGTGCCCTCGAGCGTATTACATTTGAAAAACAAACAACCTCAAACACACACACACACATACACACACACTCTCTTGCATATAGACACACATGTGCTTGCACTCGTAGAAAGGAAGAAGACCTAAAGCAAGCTCGGATCTTTCTTTGCTTGTATCTATAGACGGGGGCCATTGATAATTCCGAACCCGAGCTTACAAAATGGTTGCTTTGCAAAACACGAAAAGAGCATCGCTTGCGAATACATACACGCTTCCTTGCGTGCTCTGCGCAAAACCGACAAACTGAGCATACAAAGCCACTCTCTTTCTTTCTCTTTCCTTCTCGAGCTGCATAAAACTTAAAGCTGTTACATACTCGAAGTAGTCCCGGGCTAGTGTATGTGTGTGCGTGCATCCCCCAAAAGAAAAATGAATGTGCGCGAAATCCCTATACATCTGCAGTAGCACACCCGATCTATAGATATCCTCTTATTCTAAAGGATTACAGATGAGACGCGACGGAAAGGGAAAAAAGACCGAGTGAAGTGTACGCCAACTTCGAAGCTTGCGACCGATGGAACAGACAAATCTCAATTTATCCTCGAAACTCTACGAGGCATATACGTATGGAACGAGCTTAGATATCTTATCTGCAATTCGTCAAGATCACGCGTAAGCAACATCCGTTGACACCTAAGCCTCCTTAATATAAAATCGAATAAAGAAAAATTAGAAGATGTCAATTTGTATCTTTAGGACTTTCGGCGAGTACTCGAATAATATATCTATTGGGGCTCTTTTAATTTAAGATTCATTGACGTATTATATATCAAGCTCGGATGATATTAGTTGAGAAAATTTTTTTTCTTAATTAAATGTGATATGAGAATTAATTATTGATTAAATTATTTTGCTTTTCAGATAAATAACTTGTTTGTAAGAAGATACACGAAAGATCCTCAAGCATTTGATTTAAAGGTCAGTTAAATTATTTATTTCTCAATGTTCTTTTTATTTAAGCTTTAAATATTTGTTAGTACAATGTAATTACTCAACTATAAGTTGTAGTTTGTATGATTTACAGGTGAGGCGATTTAAAAATTTTAATTTCACGTCGAAGCTTTTTGCTCTGTAGGAAAATTGGTTACTCTAACGTATACACGTTCTAATCTACATGATGAGCAAAAGTTTCAATTATAACTAACCTATTTACATCCGATTTATAAATAAGTTTTAATAAAAAGGCTCTTATCTTCACCGTATCTCATTCCATCAAAATCCCATTTAAATATATTATTCGATCGAAGCAAGTCAAACAAATGTTAAGTCGGGCTATACTCACTCGCTTTTTAACAAAAAGCTGAATTAGTTTTCTTCTTTGACTCTCGGGGCATTCTCTCGATCCGTATTCAAACTTTGCCAATAAGTACAAGGTATCGGAAAAAAAATATAGTAAAGTTGAATCGTACTCAATGAAGTAAGCTCGTATGTAAAATATCGATTCGTCGAGTAGATAGGTATGGGACGTCTAACCATAATCTCGAGATCAAATAAAATTGACGTAGCGATAGTAACGAACCATGAAAAGACCACAGGATTTTTTATTTTTCAAGCTGTGAGTGGATCCTGCCCATGTCGTTAAGAATTCATCCCTTCTTCGATCCAAAAAGTATCTCTTTCGATTTGAACTTTTTTGCATTTTAACTTTTCCGTTCGTTCGCTGAATATCTAAAATTTCAAGTGAAATTTCAACTTAACACTTTGAAGCATAAATGAAGTTTCGAGAAAATTATTCCATGCGCTCGCGTTGAAAACGAATATTTACTTAAATTTCCTGTAATCTAAGCTTTTCGGATGAAGATGTTGTGCTTATTCAATCAAAAATATAATACATTGAAGATGTAAACTTGCGAGGACTATTCTAGGTTTATGAAGTATTAAAAATAAAAAGGGAAAAAATATGAAGCCATGTTCACATTTCAGAATGACAAATATTAGAAATTATCATTCTGAAATATGAGTATGGCTCAAGTATTTTCCCTTTTTTTTAACAAACTTCCACTTTGTAATTTATATTTTAGAATAATCGAAAAAATGTCCTACAACTGTCAATTTCAATTTTTTTCGGTAAATTTTAATATTGAAATTACTCGAAAGTGAAATTATTTTCGAATGTACGTTCACGGAAAATGAAAAAAATTGACTCTGCCAAATTAAAAACAATTACTTTTTACCCCCAAGTGGAAAAACTGCGAACGTCGATATAAATATTGCAGTCGTGTGTGCAAAATATTTAATGCATATTTTTAATAGCAATTTATATTTGACAGAAAAATGTTCACTGCTGAAAAAACAATTTTTTTTTCGTTATAATCAATTTTTCTATGTCCGCACGCTAGTGACACGATCAATATGGCTGACGGAAGTGAAAATGACCTGGCCACAATCTGCAGATTATTATATGATACATTAGAGCCAATATCAAGCGATAGGGCTCGCATAGGCGGTGTGCAGTGGTTTTGCGTCAGACCACTCTGTAGCCGGCGTGACCACACACTAGCTCGTGCCGCGCTCGATGACGTATAATGTACCGAGCGGCCGCGTATAAGCTGCAGAAGCGTAAAACGAAACAATGAGTGATAAGGTACTCAATTTTCACCGATTGCCATGGCGATACTGGGCTTACAACGGCTAATTGTGTAATAGCATAATTAACTTTTTTGAAGATCGAACGTTTTGATAAATTAACGCAAATAAAAATATGAGAGGATAATTAAAGGGAGTGCAGAGATTTATATTAACTTTTCCATTCATGGATGTGGTTAATATTTCTATCGAGAAGCGATGACGGCACTTAAGACTTTGATATAGAGAGTCTTGGCAAATATCCCAGTTTTTTTTACTTTCAGATACCGCAGTTCGATAAGAATTACGTCGTCAAGCCATATTGAAAATTTTTCACTATTTTATGGGAATTAATATGTTCTATAGTCGTAATTTTTAATATTAAATAAGAAAATTACGCTGCGAGTCGAGAGGTCACGACTAGGAATACATTAAATTATTAATACCGCGGCGCAACGAGTAGCACTCGTACAACATGACACGTTGCTCACTCGTTCTAATAAAAAGTCAGTTACAGAAGGAGTACGTAATAAATGAACACGAGCTCCCATATTGCATCGAGCCCGAGCTCGATGACCATAAAAGTATAACATACCTCCCTTACGTCAGGTTGTTCGCCGAAAAATCATTATAATACCTCATTCGAACCTACGTAGACTATAAAAAAGGCGCGCGCATTGCGTCACGGTGAAATATCTTTCATTGCCCAAATGAGACTGCTACAGGATCGTCGGATATTACAGCCCCGGACCGAACGATCTTCCGATTCATCGCATAAAAAAATGTAATCTATGTACCTTATATGCGACACAATAATATGACTGCAGTGCATATAGTATAGGTCCCAGCGATAATGCAGTATAGGTATCCAGCGATGTCGTTGCATATAAAAGCGCACGTGAGTGTGTGCAAGGAACTGGAGGTGGGGCCCCTTCCCTGGGAAATTCACACGCGGAGCTATACTTCGTGATCCAGTCGACGCGCGCGCGAACGACGAGCGAAAGTGAGTAGAAAGTGTGGCGGCGGCTGCAGTGTGTATACATGTGCATAGCATACAATATATATGCACTGCAGACACAGAGAGAGTATCCGCATGCAGTTAATCAAAGTCAGAGCGCGTCT